AAAAACTTGCATTTTTTAACGTATTTGTTACTCAGTACCATGTCAATTAATTCCATAGTGTTGTAAATTGATGTTGATGTTATGTTGTGGCTTTTAATTGATCGGGATGATATTCTGCCAGCTCTGCTTTCAGACCAGAGATGGTCTCCCCATGAAACCGTTGAATTTATCTGAACAATAACATGCTGGACTTTATGCTTGCACTGAAGGAATCATGACTGGATTTGGACAGTAATATTGCAACAAGGTGGAGGAATCCATCATGGGAGGAGGGCATGGGGAGGGGTTGAGGGAATCCCAGAGCCTATGAAACCGTGTCATAAAATGAAATGAAATTTAAAAAAAAAAAAAGATGTCAGCTATTTTTACAGTCGTCAGAAATTGGATAAAGAAAGCTGTTGTTCCCCAGGCTTCACTTTTATTCTGTAAATTTCAAAGTTAGTACAGCAGAAATAGAAGGTTCCTAGAGATAAGTTCTGAAACTCGGTGGGTTTTTTTGTTTTGTTTTGTTTTGTTTTGTTTTGTTTTGGGGGGGTTTGGGAGGGACACCTTGTTTTTATTGCTTTCCCTAGAGAGGAGAAGCTGAATTAACAGGGCTAATTTTAAAATTATTGTCAAGGTTTAAAAAGAAAAAACAAGGAAAGCACCATTTTTTAAAATGTATTTACTTAAGTGTTTCCATGAAGTGTTTTCAGTATAAACACTGTGGTATTGTGTGAATGCATGAGAACCTGAAAAGTGGAACTGATCTGTTTTCACTTGATAAGCTGAATGAGGCAAAAAACACATGGTGCCAGTAGGTGAAACAATACATTAAAATTCAGGTTATCATATTTCAAGGATAGTTGATAAACAGACATGGGATGTAATGGTTCTGCTGTTCTAGCATCTAGCATTTAGGTATTGATTGAACTTTATTGTGTTTTCATTTGTAATAGCTTTGTGGTATTAATTATATTACAGTTCCATTATGACCTCTGTCATACTTAAAAATTATCTTCAGTTATATGATCACCTAAATTAGCTATTATAATTGGCCAGATATATAAATTATGTAAAATATATTCATAGTTGCTATTTTACTTCTAAATTACCTATTATAATTTTACATATAGAATGAAATTGAGACTTTAAATGTTTTTCATTAGCCAAAACATTGTAGAGCCAGGCTTTATTTGTTAATGAAAATATTGTATGTGAGGCAAGTGGGTTTTCAATGGTGTTACTAGGTTGAATAGCTACAGACTTGTCATTAATAATTATTCATGAGTGCTGAAATTATACAGCAGTTGCTTTCTCCTGGTTTGGCATTCATAGCAACAAGAGAAGGTTTGACGAGCCGGTACTCTTGCCCATTTCCTTCTAGTGATGGTGGCTCTGAGGTCGGAGTTTTGTGTGTGGTGACTACAGGAAAGGGCAGCTGGAAGGCTGACTCCAGCTGTTCTCTACTGCCTTAACACAGGGCTACTCAGCTTTGTTTAGTTTGGTGAGGAATTAGTTACTGTCTTTTACTCATTGTACTACAGCTTTGCGGGGAGACGGGGAAGGAGTAGTATTTAGTTTGTTGGTGAAGGAGCTGCTTAAATTTCTTAAAGTTTGAAAATAAGTTACACTTTCAGTTTCAGAAACCTTTGGCTTCATAAAGAAGATTTGAGGTAGATTTTTTTCTAGTGTAAGGAAAGAAGAACAATTGGTTAAAATGGAACGCTTCTCCCCACCACTTACATTGTAAAGAAAGTTAAGGCTTTGGTGCTTAATGAAGTCCTAGCTGAAGTGTTGTCAGGAAATGTTGATTTTCTTAAGTTGCCGCTTCTGTCCTCATATGTCGGAAGTTTGAGTCTTTGGGACTGACATTTTATTTTGGGGGTTGATTTTTGTTGACCTATGAACCTTGGAGGAGTGTTTAACTACAGGAATTGGGATGATTATTATTGTAATCTCAAGTACTTCTGAAACTTCTTAATAACTGTTTTTCAGCTTGTTCATTTGGAAACAATATTAGTGTCTGTAAGAATTTCTTTGTAGGAAAAAAGGGTTTCGAGTTGGTGAGCAGTTTATGCTGACAATCACTATGGTGTTTTGCCCTTATTTTTCTTTTAAGATGAATTTGTTTTTATTTAAAAGGAAGATTTACAAAGAGAAGGAGAGAAAGATCTGTCTGCAGCTTCACTCCCCAAATGGCCACAATGGCTAGATATGAACCAATCTGAAGCCAGGAGCCAGGAACCTTTTCTAGGTCTCCCATGTGGATGTAGGGTCCCACAGCTCTGGGCCATTCTCCACCTCTTTTTTTTTTTAAGATGTATTTATTTATTTTTTATTGCAAAGTCAGATATGTAGAGAGGAGGAAAGACAGAGAGGAAGATCTTCCGTCTGATGATTCACTCCCCAAGTTACCACATGGTCTCCCACGTGGGTGCAGGGTCCCAAAGCTCTGGGAAGTGGGGCTGCTGGGATAGAACCGACGCCCATATGGGATCCCGGTGCATTCAAGGCGAGGACTTTAGCCACTAGGCCATGCTGCAGGGCCCCCATTCTCCACTTCTTTCCAAGACCATAAGGAAGTGGAGCAACTAGAACATTAACTGACACCTGTATGGAATGCTGACGCTTGAAGGTGGAGGATTAGCCTGTTGAGTCACAGCGGCTGCCCCTTGTTGTTATTTTTAAGCGGGAGTGGGGTGGGGGGGCAGGGAGGCCCAAAACTATACCAGGGATTCTTATGACCCTGTTAAATATTTATTGAGGATCTCAAGAATTTCTGTGTTTGTGGGTTATATTGATTATTACAGACTGTACGTTTTAGTCTAATTTCCATTGCTGTAATAAAATACCTGAAACTAGGGTATAGAGAAAAGAGTTGTGTTTAGTTCAGGGTTTGGGACAGTGTAAGTCCAAACAGCATAGCTGTGACTGGGGAGAGCTACCTTCCCTGATTTGATCACTATATGTATTTGGTAAATTACACTGTGTGCTGTAAATGTGTACAAATGTTATGTTTCAATAAAAATAGATGATTTGGGGTAATAGTTTCTAGTTTATAAAGGAACTGAAACAATAGTCGAAAGTTCCCCTGTATCTATTCTGTGTCCGCTGTTTAGCACCGTGCATCTGTTTGAGTGAATGAATCAGTGCTTGCTGATAGCCAGTGATGATAGCATTGTTATTAACTAAAGCACGTCACCATTCACGTTTCCATAGATCTTCCCTAATGTCCTCTTTCTCTTGGAGGATTCAGTCATACCACATTTATTTGTCATATTTTCCTGTGTTCTCCTTAGCTGTAAGTTCCTCAAGTTCCTCATTTTTGAGATCTCACCTGCCTTAAGGTGTACAAGTCAGAGATTCAGTAGCTTAGCCCTTGATGGGAATTTGTAGTTTTCCTTGTTGTGAGACTGAGGGAATGGGATACTGGCAGGAAGGTTGCGGATTGAAGTGCCATGTTCCTCACATCCTGTTGAGGAGACTGGCTGTGAGCAGGCTGTCTTAGCTGCACTTGTCAAGTCTGCCGGCCGGGAAGTTGCCTGTACTCAGCGGGCAGTCGCTGTCAGTGCCCATACGTGTGCTTCACCTGCTGGAGGCCACACTGTCTGCAGAGAACATACTTAGAATTCTTTCCCACGAGGTTTGTTTTTTCTCCTGTTTATTTATTAAATCACTTATATCCGTCTGGACTCATTACTGCTTTATTATTTGCTGCTCAAATTGTTCCAGCCTCAGCCAGCAGGCACCCCTCCCTTGGCTGCTGTACACCTTTCACATACCCTCTTCACAGTTGTTTTCTTTGTAGCTTTTTTTTTTTTTAAGCTCTTTCTTACTTCCTGAAACAGCAAGGTGCTCCCAACTCAGCTTGTATGTTTCCTGCATATTTGCTTGGGATAATGATCTAGGAATATGTTTATTGTGCAGGTATAACTACAAGTAGCACTCCCCCCAGCCCCTTTTGACTGGCTCAGGTATTTTGATTTGGCTAATAAATTACATGATCATCTTCTTCAGGGAATGTAAAACTCTGTCTTCCTCTCTTGACCTCAAGGCTGGTGTCAGTGCATGGATAGTGGGATAGTTACACATGTGGGCACTAGAAAAGAAAGAATATTTAGGGAGGGCAACAATGCTGTGTTCCAGGTGCTGTGGACAACGAGGGATGTGGGCCTAGTAAAGGCAAAAACTGCAGCCTATGTCATTGATCCTTCGGATTTTCATCATTGGCCATTAATTCAATTTTTTTAAAACACTTTTTTTTTTTGAAAATCTGTGTTTTATCATATATCACCTCAATTTTTAAAACACACAGATAACATAATGGCTGTTTTGTTTATGTCCATGGATTACTGATTCCAATAACTAGTGATTATTTAATGCAAATAATCAATTCCAGTGTGGAATTGTGGGGTGGGAGTGCTGTGGTGTAAAGCAATTGCCTGCAATTCTGGCATCACGGGTGGGCCCTGGTTCGTGTCATAGCTGTTCCACTTCCAATTCAGCTCCCTGCTAATGGCTTGGGAAGGCAGTGGAAGATAGCCCAAGTGCACGGGCCTGCTATGCATGTTGGAAACCTGGAAGAAGCTCCCAGCTCGCTGGTTCTGGTGGTTATAGCCATCTGGGGAGTGAACCAGAACTCTGTCTTTCCTTCTCCCTCTAACTCTGATTTTCAAATAAATAAATATTTTTTAAAAAACAGAAAATTAACTGTATGTGGGTTGCCTTGGTGGAAATCTGGAGAGCTTTTAGGCTGAGAAAATAGCTGAAGATGTATTACTAGGTTGACCATAACTGAGAGAGCATTTGAAATCCCTAGGAATTAGAATGACTGAAGATCTTTCTGAAGGCTGTATAAATTGTATATAATTGCATGGTAAAGTAAAAGAAGTGAACATGTAGTAGGCAAAATATGTAGCTACTGCTGCTTCTTGAAATGCACTTTAAGTAATCTTTTTATTTTAAATTTCTGATTTGGATACACCATATTAAAAAAAAATTTATTTTTCCTTTTTAAGACTGTTTTAAAGAAGTCATTCAAATACGCCTGGATGAACTTCTCCGTGTTTTAAAGTCTGTGATGAATAAACATCAGAACCTGAATTCCGTTGACCTTCAGAATGCTGCAGAGGTGCTTACTGCAAAAGTGAAAGGTAAGGAAGATAAGTCACAAGTGGGTCCTCGTGGGCAGAAAGAATCTGAGGGTGCGATGCAGTCTGTGATGGCTGTACAGCCACTCCTCTCCTGCTAATTTGTATGTTGTCTGTCAGTCAGGAGTTACGTATATTTTGAAGTTGCATGTCCACATTAAGTCACACCTAACACTCTTTAGGTTTTAGAAGCTAAAACTTTGACAGCAGACATTTAAAAATACTAAAAGAACTGACGTTGGAATGTTGAGCTGTATGAGTGAGGTCATGTTCATTGTGTGAATGAACTGAAGTTCTCGACCATATGAGGAGGACTTGTGGTGTTGGACTATGGTCACTTGTAGCAGGTCCATGTGAAAGAAGGAACCAAATAGCAAGAAGGCTTCAATTGGGATCTTTAAAATATGAAAAGTAAAGCTGTTTTATGTGTCTGATGTATATGTACTAAAACTTTGCATTGAGAATTAGGATCCTGTCCTCGTATAAAATCATTCATCACTCAAAATTGTTGGGATTATTCCCAATTGAAATGTGTAAGAAAAGTTGAGAGTTGAGGAATATTTGAGAAGAGGTAAAGAAGACCAGTTAGTGTTTTTGTATAGATATAAAGTGGACTTAATGAACATTGAAGGTGCAAGTTGGGGTCTGAAGGAGTAGAATGTGGTTCAGTGGATGGATGTCAGTTTAACAAAACATAAAATAAGTCTGATGTGAGAGGTCACAGGGAAGTTTGGAGTTGAATCTGTGAGATTAGGATTGTTCATGTGCAGATGGTGATGGGAGAGGATAACACTTAACTCAGAGCGTGCAGAGGAAGCAGATGTCTGCTGTGAGATCCCTGGAAGAGAGGTGAAGTGGAGGAGCAGAGAAGCCTGTAGCCAGGAGGGAAGTGATCTTGGGAAAGGTGGTATTTTAAGAAGTGTTTATCACTGTTAAATGCCATTGATACGTGATATGGATTAAAGTAGTATAACCTTTCTGGTGACCTGGAGTCAGCAGAAGAAGCCACTCAGTTCCTTGATCTGTTCCCAGATAAGTGGTTTACACTGAAGCCCTGAGGAGAGGAAAGGCTGCTTTGGGGAGAGGGACTACTTGTCTCAGCTGAGTTGGCATTGCCTGGGCTGGAGGTTGAGCTGGGATTTTGGCCTTGGTTACAAAGACTTTGGACTTGAAGAACGTGAGGGCTGATATTTGGAGATGGCAAAGGACAAGTTTCAAAGGATGAGGCAGGAAGAAAAAATAAAAATCTTGCTAGTAAAATAGAGTCCAAATACTTAAGAAACTCATATCCCAACTTCTTTTTGACACAGATTCTTCCTGTTGGTGTGGTTTCCTTTATTTTTTTTTTTCCTGTATTTTTAAGTTGAAAAAGTAATAAATGATTTTATGGGTAGCTTTTGTGAGGAATTTTTCAAATGTGCTTAGTAACCAAATTTGTTTTTAAATAGATTGTTTACAAGTGCCACTTAACTTTACTTAGATAGGGAGACTTGTGTCTATAGATAGTAAAATTTCCATGCTTGGAAATAGCGACCTGGTTCAATTGTTGTCAGTAGCTATTGTGTGCCGCAGGATGTCCTGGGGAAGGAGGGTGCCTGTGTGTGGCTGGTGTCCGCATTCCAGAATCCGCCTGGAGAGAGTGGCTTCTGAGCTGCCCTGCAGAGCCTCTGTCATTGAGGTGGAGTAGTCTTTGGAGTAGTACTCCCAGGCTGACCGCCTCTGCTCTCGAGATTAGGAAATAGGAAAATAGATGACTCCGTTGTTGGGAAAAGGACTCCATTTCAGTGGGACTATGTAGACTAAAAACTTTAAAATGGCGTTTTCTTTGGGGTGAGTTTATATGCTTTTAAACAAAACTTTTCCTGTCCACTTGTTGTTATTTTTGAAGCCTTCTAATACTACCACTGATACCTCAGATTTAAAATATCCAGTGAGCTCTGAACAAAGAAATTAATCGGAGCTTGCATTCAATGATCATTTAATTTTCAAAACCTGGAAAAGTAAGCAAGGTGGGGGTTAAGTTTAAAGGTCTGTAACACGGAGTGGGGCACAATGGCTCAATGAGCTAATCCTCCCCTTGTAAGCACTGGGATCCCAATGGGTGTTGGTTCATGTACCAGTGGTTCTACTTCCGTCCAGCTCCCTGCCTTTGGCCTGGGAAAGCAGTAGAGGATAGCCCAAAGCCTTGGGACCCTGCACCTGGGTGTGAGGCCCGAAAAAAACCCTGGCTCCTGGCTTTGGATTGGCTCAGCTCTAGCCATTGGGACCACTTGGGAAGTAAACCAGCACATGCAAGATCTTTCTGTCTCATTTTTCTATAAAAATCTTTTTTGGTAGAAATTAATAAATTTTTAAAAATAAAATAAAAAGTCTGTACCAGTAAGTGCTTGGCGTATTTTAGTCTGTACAAAGAGAACCACTTATAATCTTCCATTTTTGTTTAAAGAGAAGAAAGCTTAAAGAAGAATTGTTGTATGGTAGAATCAGAAATATGTCAGGAATAAAGAGCTGATTTAATCTTGACCTCCTGATGACACTCAAACAACACCAACCTGAGCAGCTGGCTTGCTTGGGTTGCCTTATCTCTAAAACACATTTTTCAGATTTAGCAAACCGCTCAACTATGTATGTATTTGTAAACACACAGAGAGAAAATACTTTAGGATCAGAGGTGTGTGATGTTGGTGTCACCACAGGTTTGATTGCAGGAAGTCTGTCTACTTCCTATTTATAAGACATGCAAAATGGGAATCTTTAACTGTTCTAATTTTTAAATTTTATAAGTGGAATTTATCTTTTAATAACTTCAGCTTTTTCCCATTCCTTCGAGTGTTGATTTGTATTTCCTGCGTCTCCTCCTGTTTCCAAGCAGGAAGTGCAGTCTGACAAAATATTTGCAATATGGTAAGAGAGATAGTCTATTTTTGAAGCAGATAAAGACATCTTCAGAGCTCATTCATTTATTATGTACTTAATATTTGTGTTTTCATTACTTCAGTTATTTCAATGTCTTCTTTATAATATGAATGAAAATAACTCTATTTAGGTTTTCCAGGATCTATATTTTACCTTAATTACAGAAATTGACAAATTAGAACAATAAGCCTTACCTACACTTCCAAGGTCATAGAACCTCATATTTTCTTTGTTCTGCAAACTTAATTGTTTTAACCTGCATTTGACACACACTTCAAAATGAAGTGAAGTTTCTTTCCTACCTCTGACCTGTGGCCAGCTATTCTTTTCCCTGGAAAAGCACATGCATTACACATATATGAGGAAATTCATATGCATGGATCTCAAAATTATTTTGCATAAAAATGAACCTTTAATTCTGAGGCATATACACATACAGCGCTGTTTCAGAAGGTTCGTGGGAACTCTTTGTTATCTTTTCATTCCATCCTTCCACAGTATTCTTGAAGTTCTCTTTTTTAACCTTGTTACGTAAATGGTAGTATTGTGTCCCTTGCTCATTTCTGGCGCAAAAAGAGTTTCCTTATTATCTGTTTTCAAAGCTGTAAATCATTATGTTGAGGTGCTGTAGTTTAGCCTTTAGATTATTTGCAGAGTTGTTTTTTTTGTTTTTTTCCTATAACATGGATCAGTAAATAGCCAGGTAGGCTCATAAATGGGCTTGCTGGGTCGGGGAGCATGTGCATTTATGGTTTTTGGTGTTAGCAGACACACTTCGTGGAGGTTGGCTGAAGAAGCTGAGTGCCCACGCCTTTGCCCACAGCTGGTTGCCTAGCCTTGGGATTGAATCTGGTGACCGCAACAGCTGCTCGCTGTGGATGGAATATGCATTCTCTTGCCTTTGAGTGCAGTCGACTATCTTTCCATTTACTTTTGAGCCATTTGTTTAGATTTTAGTGTGAATCTTAGCCTTTTATCTGTTTCTCTCTGGGTCTTTTCTAAGGATTGATGTGTAGAAATTCTTTAAAGTTTGTCTCAGATCTTAGCTTTTCATTACAAATGTTTCTACTTGGTTTTGGTCTTCTTAGATATTTCATTTTTGCCTGTAAATTTATCAGTCTTTTTCCTCTTTTTAGCTGTCTCTAGCAGGTCGGTATTAGGAAAGTTTACTGTGCTCTGAGAGTTAGAATTGTTCATTGCTTTTTCTTCTGTTTTCCTGATATCATTTGTTAAGTATGTCTTTGATGCATCTGATGGATCTAGATATCTGGTTCATTTATTCAGTGAACTATTTTTTCTCCACTGATTGAAATACCACTTTTATTATGAATACATTAAGTGCTGAAGCATACTGTGTCTTACCTTGTCCCATTGATATGTTTTATCATGTGTTAGCACCATACCACTTTTATTGTAGTTATAGACATCTTATCTGGTTGGGATAGCTCCTTATTCTTTTTTCTCAGTTGTTCCTCTCAATGCTGTTTTGTGCAAGAAACTGAAGTTAAATGTTGTAGCCAGAGGAATGCAGGAAGTAGCCACGGTCAGGTTTGAACTCAGGCCTGAAATGCTGAAGTATTACTACTTTCACTTATTATAGCACCTTCCTTCTAAGAGAGAATACCTGGAAGTTGAGAGAAGTGGTTAATATTTGTAGTAATTACAGCTGATGCTTTTGAGAACCTACTGCCTGTGCAGCAGAGCCTGTTCCACTGCTGATAGGTAGTGTCGCATGTGACCTTCACAGTAGTTACCTGAGGTCAGTGCTGCTGCTCTGTCTGCTGCTGTTTTACAGATAAGATAACAGGGTATGGAGAAAGGTTTGTGCAAGACTCCAGCATAGGAGGTGGTAGAAAGTTGCAGAAAGGTCAACTAGGATGAAGACTTAGAAGAAAGATCTTGAGGTTTTTGGCTTGTTTACTTAACAAGCCAAAAGGAGGAGAGAGAACACTCCCAGTGGCTGGTGTACTCCTCATAATGGCGGTGGCTGAAAGTGGGGAGGAGAGCTGGGAACTCAGTCGAGGTCTTCTGTACAGGTGATAGGAGCCTGATTGTTTGTGCCATCACTCTTGCCTCCTAGGATCTGCGGTCGCAGGAATCTGGAGTAGCACACAGCACTCTAGATGTCTCTCAGCGTCACAAGGGCAAACGGCTGTCCTAGGCCTCCAGTTTTCACGGGAAATAGTTTATTGTTGACTGCGTTGTTCAGTGATAGTGTGTTAAAATAGCAGTTAATATTTACTCATCATTTTCTATTAAATAATCCCTGTGCTAAGTTCATTTTAGTCTTCGTAACAACTTCATATCAAGTAATCATTCCTACTTTACAAATGAAGAAGCTTGGGCACAGAGGTTTTAAGTTATGCAATGAAGTGAGAAACAGAGCTAAGATTAAATCTAGATCGACTGGTTTCAGAACCAATCCTCCAAACCAGGGAATAGCAGGTATTACGGCTGGTGGGCCTTTTCTGGCTTGTGCCTGTTTTTCAGAACACAGCCACTCTTATTTGTGTATTATGTATGACTCCTTCAGAGCTAAAGCTGAGTGGCTGCAGTGGACCACATGCCTTGAAAAAAACCTTACGTATTTACTGTCTGGTCTTGTATAGAGTTTTCCAGTCTGTAATAACCATTGAAATGGGTGGAAAAGCCCCATCGCTGAATTCATTGTTAACTTGGGAGATAACACAGACCGTGGCATGTAGAAACTTGGCACTGAAGAATTGGTGAGAAAAATTGGAGGGTAGCTTTACAAAGAAATAAAGTAAAATGGACTTTTTTTTTCATGTAGAAAAATTTGAGTGGAATAAGGCAAAATGTCCAGAGAAGTAGTGAAGGGAGGAATAGTATGGTGGTATTGGAATAAAGAAAATATCAGAGAGAATAGGAAGATTTAGCACTGGAAAGGAACCAAAGACTTGTTTTAAACACTCAGGAGCAATTAAAGGAGAGAGAATGCAAATACATGACTTTTTCAAGTGGATGCAAAAGCAGTGGCAAGAATTTTTGTTAGATGATTATAGTCTCATTCAAGGAGGATGAAGAAGAAGATGGTTCATGTGGTCGAATTTTTACTAACAATAATTTATTGTGTTTTAATATAGTCATGTTTAGAGCTGTGAAAACAAACATTTAAAGGAAAGAACTATAATTTTGGTCATGTCATGAAGTACATTTTCTTTAAAGTGTAACAAACAGGTTGAGTTTAGGAAACAAACAGGTTTCACGTTTTAATGGTGTGATGTCAAAATACTATTGAATGTTTTCTTTTCACAAAATTTGAAAAAGAGCTTTATTGAATTATAACTAAAATATACTAGCTTGTTTGAATGTAAGTACATTGGATCAGTTCTTCCCGGTGTCGGCTCCTGTGACATCATCTTCCTTGTCACGATGCTGCTGTGCTTGGTAGTTCTTCCCGCCTGCACCCTTCTTTCCCCTTCACCAGTTCTAATACGTTGCATTTTTATTTTCATTCTATTCAAAATAGTTTTTCCTTTTTCTTCTTTGACGCATGGGTTATTTAAATATTAACTTAGGTTCCAAATATTTAGGGATTTTCCATAAATCTTTCTGCTACAGATTTCTGATGAAATTCCATGTAGCCACAGAATGAGCTTTACCTAATTTGAATTGTTAAACTCATTGGGATTTTTTTTTTCTGGTCCATGCTATGTCTCATATCATGGTGAATATTCAGTGTGCATTTTGGAAGAAGACATGTTCTGCTGTTATTAGGTGAAATGCTCCATAAACGTCCTATGTTCCATAAATGTCCTGTGAAGGTGACTGATAGTACTGTTCAGTTACACCAGTCCTTATTTTCCTAAGGTGTGTTCTCTCAGGAATCGGGGGAAAGTTACTGAGACCTCTAGCTGTAACTGTGAATGTGTCTGTTGGCAGGTCTGGCAGTTTTTACTTCATGCGTTTCTGAACTGTTGCCTCAGTGTGTAAGTGTAAAGAATTGTCATGTGCTCTTAGCACGTTGGCTCCTTCACAACTACAAAATGACCTCGTGTATCCATAATGTCTGCTGCTTAGAAAACTACAGTCAACGGGGGCAATTGCAGAATTTATGATAGTTTCTTTCTTGGCTGTCAGGGGACACTATTGCATGATATCCAGTGCCTTGAAAACTAGCATTTCTTGTATTTTCTGTGGATCTCTTTCAGTTGTTTAAATATCTTGGCCAGAGCAGAGTCCAAAAATATTCTCAAAATTATCTACAAAGCTGTTAAATTTTTCTCCTTGTTTGTGTCAAAAAGAATCTGATGAAAGATAATACACAAAGGTCCCACATTGTGACACAACAGCTAAGCCATTGCTTGCAACACCAGCATCCCAAGTTGAAGTGGGGAGTCAAGCGCCAGCTGCTCTGCTTCCCATCCAGCTCCCCACTAATGCATGTGGGTATGCGGTGGAAGATGGCCCAAGTACTTGGGGCCCTGCCACCCACGTAGGAATCCTGGAAGGAGTTCCTGTCTGCTAGCTTCAGCCTGGCCCAGCCCTGACTACTGCAACCATGTAACAAGTGAACTAGAGTATGGAAGATCCTAGTCTTCTGTGTAGCTGTGCCTTTGAAATACATAAGAGGGAGAAAGAGAAAGAAAGAAGAAAACAGACCTTGGTGTTGTCCTTGCCCCACATCTATAAAAGGTTACACATGTAAAACTTTCCGTGTGAATTCATGGGATTTCTGAGTTTGAATTTGAATTCATCTCTACCTATGAATTCTTTATCTCCAGTCCTGTTTGTATGTTAGCATCATCCGGGAGAACTTTTATTTAAAAAAAGTCTGTGCTTCTCTAGAGATATATAAAATCTGCATCTTTGGTGGTGGAGCCCACACTTTGTAAGACTCCCCAGGTAATTGTAATGCAGCCAAGACTAAAGGCAGCTCTACCCGTGGAGTGCTTCCTCTTGGTGTGGTTTCTCTGCCTTCCCGGTTTTTGGCAAGGATACTGATTGCTCCCTGAACTCTTAGCAGCATGAGTTACATTTAAAAAGGCAATTCTACCTTTAGACTTTGTCCTGGAAAATTGTGTTTGGCCTTTAACAAGAGTGCATACAAAAGTTAGGAACACTCTTTTAGTTATATTTCCTGTTGGAATGTTCCTATTGTAAACATTAAGTAGCCATATGTCTGTTGACGTGGATTTCAGACCCCAAAACTTGTGATAAGAATTAAGACTGTAAATAGAAATTTGAAATTCCTAAAACATTGGGTGTTTTATATGATTTGCTTTATTGTAGGCTTTATGATACGTCAAATATACATGTTTTTAAAAGTCTGTGGAAAATAGAATTTAAAATATGAGTTTATTTTGTTGCAAAAAAAAATAAACCTTGTAGCACAAGAAAACTTTTTTCTTTTAAAATGTTTTGAAGTTGGAAAGGTGAAGGAAATCACAAGTGCACATAGGGCATGTTTGGGCCAGGAGGAGAAAAGTGGGGAAAGGGAAGTGTTTCTGCCTTCCCTCACCCCTCTGGCTGGCCGGTCCTCCTGTGATCTCGGGGAGGGGAGTGATTTCATGGTAACTCCCCTGGTCCCAGTGAGGGGAAGTAAATCCTGGGGAAGAGACCCATCGATTGGTGGATAGGAGGATGGGATTGACAAAGAGCAAGGGGAATGTGGCCTCCAGCTCCAACCCTGGGCTACCTACCTATCTGTCACATTTCTTTCCCCCTTGAGAGGTTTTTGACTCTTCCTGTGTGGATTGCTGAGGGTATAGACTCATGACATCTTCTGTAGTTACCTCCTGATGAGGGACGTAGGGCTCACCTGTCACTCAGGGCCAACGGCTGTGTCTGTAGCTTCTTCATCATTACTCTGAGATGATGTTGGCTTCCTTGCATAGGAGTTAGCAGCATATAGGTGGTCTAATCATGCAATGTACACCAAGACCAGATCACACAGTCAGGGATTCCGGACCCTGAGATTGGAGATCCTGACATTTCTGAGGCCGTCGTGAGATTAAAAGCAGACTGCTTGCCAACGCCAAAAGCCATGTCAGTGGGCTTCTCCTACAGTGGGTACAGTGGCCCGACCTCAGGAGGCCCTCCAGGATACTCTGCCTGGCCTGAACCCAGCCTCTGCGCTTGCCCTTGTCTGTGCATTGGCCCAGGGAGATGCACCAGACCTTTGGCCTGGTCTACCCGTAACCCTAAGCAACTTCTTTCATGATATAGAAAATGTGTTTTATGAAAAAACTTGCATTTAACAATTTTTTTGCATCAAAATAAACCCCATGCTTTGATTCCTGTTTTTCCTCAGACTTTGAAGTATTCTTGGTACTTCATTATTGGTAATTGATAGAAAAAATGTGCTTGATGTTCAGTTAGCTCTAATGTGTTTAGCTGCTTTTAAACATGTGAGAAAACAGTAACCAAGAGAAAATCACAGAGCAGCATACTTAGAATTCTGGCATAATGTGGAGTCTGTGAGTCAAAATCGGTTGGTTTTACATTGAACCACTTTGTACATTTGTCACATCCCGTAACACATGAAGTAAGCAGGTTGAAATGCCATCTGCTCTTTTGCACACTGATTCTGTGTTAATTTCCTTAGTAAAGAGCTTGAGCATCATGCCCATTTTAAATATTAAACTTCCCAGTTTCTCAGTTTTGTAATACTTATTGAAGTCACAGTGAATGCTTTAAAAATTATTTTGTATAGATCTTATTTAAAATATTTCCCCTTCACTTACTGTCAGTAATATTTCCTTACAGCTGTGAACTTCACAGAAGTTAATGAAGAAAACAAAAACGAGCTCTTCCGAGAAGTGTTTTCTTCCATTGAAACTCTGGCATTTACCTTTGGAAATATGTAAGTAGAGGCTTGTCGATTAAATGTTGAGGTCTGGGTGTCCTGGTGAAGAGTATGTCACACACTTCAGTGAGGGACGTGGGAAAGAGGGTACCAATCAGTGTGAAGTGTTATCTCTGTTGCCTCATTGCTGTACTGGAGGTGCCTGTAGCTCTTGAGAAGCTGCTCCCAAGCATCTACATAGCTTATCAAGCAACTATGTAGTTTATGTGACTTGACTCCCGGGATTTTTTTCTTTTTTTTTTTTTTTTAGAATTTTATTTTTAAGACTCCTTTAAAAATTTGTTCTGAATGACACGCTGATTGAAGCCTGTGCTAAATAATTGTGATAACTTGATCTTTTTAAAATTATCTTTTTCTTTTGTTAACCTCCCTGGATAGCTTTACAAACTTCCTCATGGGAGATATAGGCAACAATTCCTTCTTGCGACTACCTGTTTCCCGGGAAAGCAAGGTAGGCTAAGGTGGTAAGAAAACAAAGCCTTTAGTATTCTAAACTTAAATTTTGAGCTATTTCCTCATCTGAAACTCATCATTTCTCTTTGATAGCTTTCAAATTTCAAAATGATCATGTCATAGCAAAAAAAAACAGACCAGTTTGTTTTAAATGTGCTGATGTATGGCCAGTTTGTGGAGCAATGATTTTGTTAAATTTTTACATGAGACTATCACATTATGAGAACATATGTGATCATTTTATAACAGCTTATATAATGGATATATGTCATATGTCAGAATTTTAGTAGCTGTTAGTTGCTTTTCCCTCTTGATATTCCCAGGGAACTTAGAAAACTACTCTAAGAAGTAAGGAATGCACGTGCCTTTCGATACATCCCAATTTATATTAGTTTACCCTGAGATGCTTGTTAACAACCTCCCTGAGAGCATCCCTGTAAGGATGTCAAAGAATTGGGGTTCTGATTTTCATTGGTGAGACAAATTGCTGTGGAATAATAATAGAGTATGAGGAATGCATTGAGAATATTGCTGTAAAGATTTATAACAACAACAACTTTCAGCTGACTGATTTTTTTTTTTCTGCACTAAATACAAACTGTTTCAATAGTCTGCATCAAGAATGAATGCTGATATTTCCCGTTAAAGATTATCAGATTCAAAAATTATTGTAAAACATATTTGGAAATGTACCAGATTATTTCTTTTATATCAGAATAGTAACTTTCTTAAAATATGTAAAATGTGAATAAGATCTGTGTTGTAAATACAGTAACACAAAAATCTGTAACTGTTTCTAAAGCCATTACTTGATAAAGAAAATGATGAGTTTTAAGATAATTATTCTTGCTGTGCATGATTCTTTCTAAGTTTTCCTTTTCAAACTATTCCGACTGCCCCCGAAGAGCAGGCAAGGCTCTAGGCCTCCACTGTGCACCCAGACTGATTCTTAAGAGGAAATAGTTTTTCCTTTGTTACACTCCTGGTTTTCCTTTTTCAAAGTTTTTAGGGTGACCTAGAGATTCAAATTTTTATAAGGTCACAGTGACATAATACTACTAAGTAAATTACTTTGATGAAAAAATGTTACACAATAGCTTTTAGAAATAACAGCTACATTTTAATGACACTGTGAATTGTGCACTGTGGTAGGCTCACATGATGCTGATCCCTAAACAGCTTTATGAAACTTGTGTTCTTATCCCCTTCTTGCAGCAGGGCACACTTAAACATGTAACTCCATACTATATAGTGAGTGGAAGAGCTGTACTTGAGACCTGGATCTCTCAATTCCTTTCTACTGAGTTTCTGCGTTTCCTATATTATTTAGCTAAATAGATCCAATTTGTTTTGTTTAAGATCTCACAGTTTTTAGAGGTCCGGCGCTATCCAATAAGTTAGCTACTAGCCACATGCAGTTTCTTTACATGTAACTAAACTAATAACTGATTAAAACTAAAAATCCATACCAAGTCATAATTGCCACTTTTAAGTGTTCAAGTACATCTAGCTAATAGCTATTGGAGAGTACAGATACAAAACAAAATTCATTACTACAAAACGTTCTGTGCTGGGCTGTCTAGAAGACTTTAAGGGATGTACTTGTCATTTAATATAATGGCAAAAGATGGATAGAAGATACAGACTATATCTTCTATTTAAATATTAATCTGTTAGTTTGCCTTTGTAACTTCTGGATTAATAATGTTGGGATCTGCAAAAGTTTAAAGTTTTGAATGGACTTACCAAGGGTAACTAATGTTATTAGTAAACAATGAGGTTTTTCATTCTTGGCCCTTGCAGTACTCTTGTAAAAAGCTATGTAACTTACAAAGTGTTATGGAATTTAAATAGACTGCTCCAACCCTTTGCGTTTTAAATTCTTGAAATGCTTCAGTGGGAATTACTTCAGAGTAGTAAACTGGTATACGTTTCTGAAGCATAGATTTGTTGTCTAATCTTACATTTGTTTTTTTCCATGCTGTAAGTCTTTTGAAAATGTTTCTGTGGAATCAGTGGACTCATCCAATGAAAAAGGTAATAACACTCGAGGCACTCCTTCCTTCTACGGTACATTCTGCCATTGCCTTGAATAATGTTGTGGGTTACGTAAACTCTCCTTGCTCATAGTAACCTAGTATATTCATTTCATTGTGGCGTGTTGTGTAAGATTTTACATATAAAAACTAAGGGGACAAGTTTCTAGAGTAGGGTAGATAATGTGATGATAGCTGCACTAATATGCTGGCATAGACTGACCAAGCGTATAGCTGGAGCTACATGTACAAAGCATGTAGCTAGAGGATTAATAGAATACATATACAAACTATTACAGTTTGAAGCAATTTTCCGTTCAAACTGCCACCCTTTACTTCTAAATTTGTCAGCTGTATTTTATATTAAACCATAGTTATTGTAGAACATCTTAGGTTCTGAATACCTCTTTGTCTAGTTAATATGTGATTATATTTAACATGTATTTACCTTGATATTTTTATTTTCAGGAAGTTTGTCTCCTCTAGAACTAGACAATGTGCTATTAAAGAACACTGACTCTATAGAACTGGCTTTGTCATATGCTAAGACATGGTCCAAATACATCAAGAACATAGTTTCATGGGTTGAAAAAAAGCTCAGCCTGGGTGAGTGGATCTTTGGAATGAAATATCTAAATTAAGACTCAATTTTATATAGACTGCAGCTAATATTCCAGATTGGTAGCTATTTCCTTGTAATGAGTAAAATTATCTATTTCTGTTCTTATTTAAAAAAAAAAAAAGACTTGTATGCTAGAAAATAGGATCTTCCCAAAGTCTGTGTACTTTCTCCTACAGTACTTGCTTTTGATGGGGAATATTAATCAGAACTCCCTGAATAGTTTTAGCCTAGCTTCCATCATCAGAGTGGTGAGGTCTCATAAACTGTATTTTGAAAGTTTTTCCCAGTTAATTCTGTTGAGCACTCATCATTAAGAATCCATATGAGCACTGGTATTTGTAATCACATTTTAATTGGGGAATCATAGATAATTTTATAGACTGTAAAGCAAAAAGTCTGTTAATTTTACCTTCTGTTTTCTTCTTCAACCTTTCCAGAATTGGAATCCACTAGAAATATTGTAAAGTTGACCGAGGCAACTAGAACTAACATTGGACTACAGGTAACTGTTGTATGAACTTCTAGGGTTCTACCTGACACTGCATAGGCAAGCTATTAATAGTGTTTTGCAGAATCAGAGATCTCAGCTAATATAGGAAAGAATTTAAAATTCTCATCTTTTCATTGATTCTTTAAAAGTTAGATGTTCTTTATAAAAATGAAGAAATCTACCATTTTATACAAAAATTGTCTTGTAGCTGGTTTAACTCCCTAGTATTATAACGAATCACAGTCAACTTTCTTCAGTGTTTTTCTTGTATCGTCTTGTTTATGACTAGTCATTTTTCAGGGAGGAGGGATCTAAACTTGAAGTTTCTCATTTTGAAGATCACTTGTGGTGGGGCTGGGATTCTTGTGTCATTTGACTTTTCTTTGTTAAATTCTAGGAGTTTATGCCCCTGCAGTCTCTGTTCACCAATGCTCTCCTTAATGACATAGAGAGCTGTCACCTTTTACAACAAACAATTGCAGCTCTCCAAGCCAACAAATTTGTGCAGGTAAAAGTTTGTATATATGCAAATCACATATTTTTCTAATAGTAATACCCTTGAAAAATAGCTTTTTTTTCTTTCTTTTTTGAAAATACCTTGTATAGCCTCTACTTGGAAGGAAAAATGAAATGGAAAAACAAAGGAAAGAGATTAAAGAACTTTGGAAACAGGAACAGAACAAAATGGTTAGTGTTATGGTGGAGTTTGAGGTACCTGTTGTGAATATGTAAACTGTGTAATGTATAACCAATGAGCCACCTTTCTCTGTAGTTTCCTAGAATACTATCTTACTGAACATGCTAAAGCAACTTTATCAAAAGTTTTATTTCACATTCTGTTTAATACTCTTCCCTATGTAGTTTGAAACAGAGACTGCTCTTAAAAAGGCAAAATTGTTATGCATGCAACGCCAAGATGAATATGAAAAAGCAAAGTCTTCCATGTTCCGTGCAGAAGAGGAGCATCTGTGTTCAAGTGGCGGATTAGCAAAAAACCTCAACAAACAACTGGAAAAGAAGCGGAGATTGGAAGAGGAGGCTCTTCAGAAAGTAATGATTCTTTTGTCATTTACAGCTTGAGTTAACACTGATCAGCTAAGGGTTTAACTCTGAAGCTTCAGTATATGTCAAGGTACCTGGGACAGATTGCAGGTCCTGCCTTCAGAGTTCCTGATTCAGTAATAAGGACAAGAACTGGAAGCAGCCATATTGGATTTCTAGCAGATTCCCTGGGGACTTTGGAAGCTGCTGGCAGGGAGATCTAGAGCTGTGCTTTGAGAACCACTTTGGAATTTTGGGGTTTTCATCTATGGAAAAAGAGTCTTAGTGTCTTAGGGAAGGCAGTGCTTTAGTGTACTCTTAAAAAGATTTATTTGTATTTGACAAGCACAGTTAGAGATCTTCTATCCATTGGTTCATTCCCCAAATGGCCACGATGGCCAGAACTGAACCAAGCCCAAATCAAGAGCCTAAAGCTTCCTCTGGGTCTCCCATGTGAGTGTAGAGGTATAAGGGCTAACCCCATCTTCTGCTGGTTTCTCAGTCCATTAGCAGAGAGCTGGATTGAAAGTGGAGTAGCCAAGACTTGAACCAGTGCCCACATAGGGTGGCCAGCATCTTAGGCAGCAGTTTATTTGCTGTACCACAGTGATGGTCCCAGTGTGCAGGAATTTTTCTTTTTACTTGAGTGTTCAGGAAATAAATCACTTTATAGGAAAACACGGTGTGTTGCATGTGCTGTTTACAGTATCTGCTAGCTAGGATAGATTGAAGTTTTGTTTGTGAACAATGCTTTGCTAACTAAATTCTTTAAGATTGAGTGGGAAGTGATAGCTACAGATAGAAAATACTTTGAAATGAAAGCAACCTTTGTTTTATAGGCAACCAATATACATTTAAATAGCAGTGAACATTTATTTTACAGATAACCAATACAGTGCTTGTAAGTTGTATTTAACTAGTAAGAGTGTAGTGCCTTTGTATCACTGACCAAAACAGATTATTCTGTCTTTCTCTGCAAATATTTTATTTAAAAATAGACAGAATATTTGAAACTTTTCATGAGTAATAGATTTTAAGTTATTTAAATTTAGCTTTACTCCCTTCAGCATGTTTTAAAATAATAAATTCAGTAATTAGTATTATATTTTTTGTGATGTTCCCTGAAGGTAGAAGAAGCAAATGAACTCTACAAAGTTTGTGTAACAAATGTTGAAGAAAGAAGAAATGATCTGGAAAATACCAAAAGAGAAATTCTAGCTCAACTTCGGACTCTTGTTTTCCAGTGTGATCTTACCCTGAAAGCTGTAAGTAACTTCTTCACTATTTTGAATTCAATAGGAAAACAAAAGTCTGTGTCTACCAAAGAGAAGGCTGCTTGATAAGTCATGACACTTAGGGGATTAAATTTTTGAGATGAATAAAAAAAATTGTTTGAAAACTGTCTTTCCATTTGTACTAATTGATATAATTTGGGCTCCTTTTTAAGATTTTATTTATTTGAAAGGCAGATTTAAAAAGAGGAGAGAGAGATCTTCCATCTGCTGGTTCACTCCCCAAATGGCAGTAACAGCCAGGGCTGAACTAGGCTGAAGCCAGGATACAGAAACTCCTTCCAGGTCTCCCATATGGTTGCCAGGGCCCACATATTTGGGCCACTCTCTGCTACTTTCCCAAGCACATTTGCAAGGAGCTGGATAGGAAGTGCAGCAGCTGGGACTTGAACTGGTGGCCATATGGATCTTGCACTACAGGGGTCAGTTTAATGTACTATGGTACAACATTAGCCCTTGAACTACTTTTAACCTGTTAGCTCTTACCTATTCCCACCAACCCCCCGGCCCTGTGGCCCCTCAATTTTGTTAGTTTGGTTAGAACTGAAGTCTAAGAGTTGAAAGTTGCCTCTAGATTGCCTTTATCTTCTTGGCTTGGTTGCAAAAAATGATTTGATGCCTGAAACTTCTTTTGGTACTTGAAGATCTATTTTAAAAAATAAAAAATTGAAATAAAGTAAGAAAATTGAACCAAAGTACTCAACTTGATGAGAGAGTATCCTATATATCTACGTGTTTCTTCTTACCTCTTCATAACTTTTTAGTGTACATTCTTAGAGATCCAACACATGCATGACTCTGTATAGACACAGTCGTGATCACAACAGGGAACAGTTCTGTAACCTCAGAAAAATTTCTGCCTCTGCCCATTAGAAGTGGACTCTTGCCTCAGCTCTGACCCCTGGCAAGTACTGCTGTATTGTCCATCTTCCTAGTTTAGTCTTTTCCAGAATGTCATATAAATGGAATCTTAGTGTTTGTGGCCTCTGGGACCAGCTTCACTTACACAGCCCAATGCCTGGAGCTCCTTCAGTGTTACACACCCAAGCGTCACGAGCTGGTTTTCTCATTGTTGAGCAGCATTCCGTCCTGTGACAGTACGGCAGTGTTTATCTGTTCACCATGTGGATGTTTGTGGTGCTTACAGTTTGCTCTGATTATTTGGTTACAGCTTTTTTTAAAGTCAAGTTTTTATAATTCTAGGGGAATTATCAGGGAGTGGGATCATTGTTGGGGATGCTAAAAGTATGTTTTTATTAAGAAAAAAATGACAGGTTTCTCAAGTGTTTGTAGTATTTTTTATTCTCCCCAGCAGTTTATGGAATTCCAGTTGCTTTATGTTTGTTGTTGTTGTTTTGAATTGTATCTGTTTTTGTAGGCGTGTTGGTGGTATCGTTTGTTTCCAGAATGACTAATGGGTTGTGCATCTCTTCAAAGGCTTATTTACCATCTGTGTTCTGGCTTTTCTTTTTTTCTTCTTTTTTGAATTTTTTTTTCTTACTATTGAGCTTACATATATTTTCCCCCAACTAAAACTTCTCTTTTTTTTTTTCTTTTATCAGTATCTATCAGATAGCAAAAGATCCTAATTTCTTATACACTCCAGCCTACCAGCACCTTTCTTCCTTTATGTACTTAGTGTTGTATCTTTGAGTACTCCACCTAACCTCAGGGCGCAAAGATTTCTCCTGTGTTTTCTACTAAAAGTTTTATAGTTTTACCTATACTTATGTGATCCATTTTATGTTAATTTTTGTATAACGTACAAGTCAAGACTCATTTTTAGCCAGTGGGTATTCTGTTAAAATTGTACCCACGGTGGATGGGCGTTTGGCACAGTGATTAAGTCACCACTGAGAAATCCATATTCCTTGTCAGCGTGCCTCATTAGGTCTTGGCTATTCCGCTTATGACCTAGCTTCCTGCTCATGCACACCTTGGGAGGCGGAAGGTGATGACTCAGGTATGTGGGTGCCTGCCATCTACTTGGTAGGCCTTGATTGAAATCTGTGCTCCTGGCTTTAGTCCAGCCCAGTACCAGCTGCTGTAGGCATCTGGGGAGTGAGCCGATAGATTTCTCCTACCTCACCTGTCTTGTCTCTCTGCCTTTCAAATAAAATCAAATAAATGAATAAATGAATTTAAGTTGTAGTCATAAAATTTTAATTTATGAAGGTGACTGAAGTGGCAACACAGAGTCAGTAACATTGAAAGAATTTATTACTTTTATTTCTCCAGAAAGTAGGAAGCATCATACTGCACAAGACCATAAGGGAAATGCCAGGTTTAGCAGGCAGAAGTGGTAGTGAGAAGAAAGCTGAATTCAGAGCCTTGATTGGGTTTCCTCAGAGAATGCCAGGCAGGCAAGTAACAGTTTAGGATTAGCTAGTCTAGAGCACTGTGGTGGGCTTGGCAGCACAGGTAAGTTTGGCCTTGGGATGATTCTGTCCAGAGGTAGTACCTGGCTTGGTGTGGGAGCTAGTTAGGAGTGGTATACTTAGGACTTGGTTTACATATGAAAGACATGATCCCAGCCTTGCTTGGGGCCATCTCTAAGGATTGCCTAACCTAGAGAGGGGAAACACTGGGCCCTTCCTATCAAATTGCTTTTGCAGCTTTGTCCAGGTCAACTGACCAAAATTCTAATGGTCTGTTTCTGGATTCTGTTTCCTTCTGTTGATACTCTTGTCTATACTTTTGCCAAAACCCCACTATCTTCCTTCTTTTGCTATAAAACAAGCCTTGAAATCAAGTGCTGTAAAACTGCCAGCTTCCTTTTATACTTAAGGAATATTTAAGATCTTTTGACTTTACATGAAAATGTTAAAGTCAATTTGTATCTACAAAAAAAAAACCTCTTGTGAACATTTTGGTAAAACTATGTTAAATCTTCATTGGATTGTGGAAAATTGACTGTATCTGCAGCATTCTAACTAAATATAGTTACACAGTCCATGAGCACAGACTTATAAATCTGTATTTATTTAGGTCTTTGATTTAAAAAAAAAAAAATCAGCATTTTGCAATTTTCAACATGTTTCTCAAATTTTATTAGATTTATACCTATGTGTGTTTGCCTTTATTTAACATCATTTGTGAATGATCTGTTTGCATGTCTATACAAATACCTTGTATATATATTTCTGTGTATAGGGATCGATTAAATTTTAAATTTCAGTTCAGTTAATATTTCAAAACAGAATTAAGTTTTGCGTGATCTTGTATTTTGCAATGTCCTAAGTTCACCTGTTTGTTTTAGGTACTTCTGTTGGTTTCTTGAAGTGTTTTGTACAGAGAGTAATGTTACCTGCAACTAGGGACAGTTTGCCATCTTTCTCATCTGTATTCCTTTATTATTCTTACTGCACTATGTTTGAAATTCCAGAGCATTGTTGGATAGGAATGTGGAGAGAAGATACACTTTTTTATTTTCCAGCTTAAGGGAAAATCATTATCTTTTTTTTTTTTGGTCATAAATAATTCTTTGAAAATGACACCTATTAAGTAAATCAACTACTTTGCTGAGTTTTCCTGTGATTAAATGTTGTATCAAATATTTCCCCACACCATTTGATGTGATTAAATAATTCATATTTTGAGTTCTCTGTATGATGGAGTACATTGATGTTTGAGTATCCAGCCTTAAAACCCTCTGGATTGAAACCGAGTTTTCCTTTCATATATTATAGGGTTCAGTTTATTAATCTTTTAATGAGCATTTTTTTTTCTTTTAAGGAAATTGGTTTGTCTTTTTTCTAATACTATTTTTTGTATTAGTATTAGGGTAATTCTAGCTTCATAAAATGTTTATTGGGAAGTGTTTCTATATGTTGTGCTTTCTGGAACAGTTCTATCAAATTTACGTCACTTTTTAAATGTTTGGTAGATTTTTTTAAATGTTTGGTAGCGTGCCCTGCTGAAATGGTCTGGGCTTACAGTTTTCTTTTTTTTTTTTTTGGAATTTTTTTTTTTGACAGTGTATTTGACTTCTTTTTTTCTAGGTGCATTTTGGTAGTTTGTGGCTTTCCTAGAATTGGTTGTTTTTCATCTTAGACTTCAAATTTATATGTATAGAATTCTTGGGTCTCTAATCTTTTTCTTAGGCTGTTGTAGTATCCCAACTTTCATTCCTGAAATTGATAGTTTGCAATCCGTGCTCTGTACATGTTCAGTCTGGTGAGATTTGCAAGCTTTATTCATCTTTCCAAAGAATCAGCTTTTATTTTCATTTTGGTTTTTTTATTTTATCAATTTCTACTTTTTAAATTTCTGTATGCTTTCCATTTATTTTCCCTTTTTTCTTTAAAGTTCTTAAAGATAGACACTTCTATTAATCATCAAGACTTCCCCCAACTCTTGATTGTAGTTTGATGTGTATAAACCTCATCTATATGTGTCAGATATTTTATCAAACCAGTCTTTACGCTTTTTACTTTTAAAAGTGAAATTTGTTAAGTGGAGAGAAGTAGTTTACTGTATTTACAATTCCTCTATGATTTTTTGATTGTTGTAGTCCATCTTCCTTCTGGTAACATTTGTTTAGTAAGTAAAACTTCTTTGCCATAATCTGTGATAGGTGTGCAGTGAGTTGTAATAGGAAGCAGTGAGTTGGCGTGGTTGTTCTGCATTTGAGGTTGACTTTACTTTGTCTTCATTCCTGAAAGATGTCTTCACCTGAGATAGAATTCTGAATGCTAAATACAGTTCTTGCCTTTTACTGCTTGAAAGATACTGTTCCATTGCCTGCTGACCTTCATAGTTTCTCACGAGAAATCCATCATCACCATTCCCTTGTGTGGTATAGTTTTGTTTTTGTTTTGTTTTGTTTTGTTTTCAGATATGCTCTAGATTTTTTTTTCCCTTGTCTTAGGTTTTCCATAGTTTGACTAAGGTGTATCTTGGCATGAATTTTTTCCTATTTTGAATTCATTGAACTTGTTGAATCTACAAATTTGACTCTTGGGAAGTTTGGGAAGTTGTTAGCAGTTGTTTCTTCAAATATTGTTGGTAGCATCCTTCTCCTTCCTCTGAGGGTCAGTGACTCAAATAAATGTCTGACCTTTTGTGATTTTCTCACAGGTTTGGAAAGTCCTCTCTATTCTTTCCCTCAGTCTTTTAAAAATTATTTTAGGGGTCTTAGTTGTTTATGCAGACAGTTCCCATCTTAACTATGGTTTAAATTTTTATGTAGGTTTCTCAGAGGATCTTTTCATTGCATTTTCCATGAAGTTTTTGAAGTACCCTATAAAACAACAGTCAAGACTGAATATGTATCTGTCAGTGTACCAAAAGCTTTGCCTGTACTACCTTACTTGATTAAATCATACTAAATTGATGAGATTATTTTTAGCTTCCCCTTACTGGTAAGGAAAACATTTTAAAAGCCTTTGTACTCAAAAGAGTAGTCTTTGGACCACTCATATTGCCATCATATGGGGAGCTGATAAGAAAGCAAATCTTGAGTTTCAGCCTAGACTTTTGGAATCAAAATCTGCATTTGAACATTAACTTTTTCATGTTATATTTTCAGTATTAGAGAAAAGTTGTAGTACCTGATCAAAGGTACCCAGCATACAGGTTACTTTGAGGATCAAGAGCAGGATCAGGCCACTGTCAGCCTGTGGTTACCCTGATCAGTTCAGTTCCTGTGCCTGAGATAGGACACAAATAACTGTTGTTGAGTGCACTTTTAGAGTATTATATGCTGAGTCAAGCATCATTTGGGAAATGCCTGTCTACCTTGGAAAGGGCTCAGAGTCTAAGCAGAAGTTCATCCTGTCATTTCATGTAGCATGAGACGTGTGAAGGAAGCACCAGAGCCTTTGCAGTATAGTTAAACCAAATGAAATTTGACATCCATTCACATTGATTCCCTTAAAAAATTCCCACACAGGAGCCAGAGTGTCATCTTAAAGAATGAATCAGATCATGTTGTAGCTTGTATAAAATCCCTGGCTTACTCCTTTTACTTCCAGCTCCTTACCATAATTTTGGTAACTGCTCTTTGGCGTTGTCTCAGAAGTTCCCCTTCTTCCCGTGCGCTGCAGCCGCCCCGCCGTTGCACTGTTTCTGAAGCACAGTGGTGTTCCCCACTCCCTTGTGCACTGCTTCCTCCTATTTGCCTCACTCTTGTCCAGCAGCTTCTCCGGCTCTCTGCTGCATCATCTCCCCACTGCAGCGTTGCCTCCTCAGAAGGTCCTTCTCTGGCCTTTTTATGTTGAAGCTACCCCTCCACAACAACATCCTTGCTTATCATCTGTGAACCTGGCATGATTTCATGGGACTCGAGTCACTCTTCGCTACCACAGGCTGTCTTATGTTCTTTGCTCCAACACCACTCTGACAAAAGCATTACATTGCTTGCAGTGATATGCCTAAAGCCCGAGTTTTGAGGAATGTCAAATTCGTTAATTCATGTAAAGCTGAGAGAGTGAGCCTGACATATTGTAGCCTTTGGTAACTGTTGTTGTTGTTACTGTAAATAGTAGTAGTGATCGTATGTTTAGGTATTTGTAGAAGTTTATTAGAATAATGATTTAAAACAAATTAGGGATGATTTGTCTGAGTGCTGTGGGAGACATAAGTAGCAAAACATTTCTCTTTTAATAGAACTGTAACGAATGAATAAAAAAAAAATAGTGCTTATGATTGCATTTTTCACCCGAGACCTTAAGCAGAGGATACAGAATATGGAGTTGGGGATCATCAGAACATATCATCTGAAAGTCTGAAGGAAGGGAGACATTAATTGCATTTTTGAAGTTTTTAGTGTAGAAGGTATTTGGGTTTTTTGTTTGTTTGTTTTTGTTTGTTTGTTTTTTTACTGGAATGATCACTCCTGAATATTAGACTAAAAGTTTTTTTTCCCTCCTGCCCAGTTTAGACTTGAACAGTATCAGGCGACATAGCATGCTTCACTGTGTGGTCTTTTTGTTGGTGCTGTCCCTGAGATAAACGTACAGTTACCTCCTTCTGGGTAATGTGTGTTCCTCTGCCTTCTGTCTTTGTGACCACAGGTAACAGTAAACCTCTTCCAGATGCAGCATCTGCAGGCTGCCTCCCTTGCCAGCAGTTTACAGTCTCTCTGTGAAAGTGCCAAACTCTATGATCCAGGCCAAGAGTACAGCGAATTTGTCAAAGCTACAAATGCAGCCGAAGAAGAAAAAGTTGATGGGTGAGATGAAGCAGTCATTGTTAAGTTCCAGTAGAAGGAAGTGTCTTATCTAACACTGACAGAACTTGCTTTAAGATTCCTGAAGCTTTTCTTGTGGTTTCTTAGTATATCTGAAGAGTAGGTATGACTTGGCCTGAGAGCACAGCTTCCTGGAAACATTGTGTGAGACTGGAGTGTGACAGCTGTGTGTTTTGAGTGCCCCCACAGTGTACCCTGCCTTTCCCGCAAAACTTGAATTACTTGAATTATTTTGGCTATTTCTTTCCTATTTCTTTCTATGTCTCAACCATAATAAATAAGAGTAATTTAAAAGTTGTATTCACATCTTTTATAAGAAGCTGAATGATAGAATATTATTTGTTCTTAATAATTAGTTTGATTATTCCATTCATTAAATTAACAAGTCATTTTGAATAAAAACAAACATAGACTATCAGTTATTCTTCTGAGTACTAAGCTTTATTTGGTTTTTCTTAGGAACGTAAGTAAGCAGTTAACAAACAGCCCCCAGACTTCTGGATATAGACCTGCTGACTCTGTAGAGGATGCTGTGCGCCTTCCTGACAATTCTCATAGAATTGAAGAGGACAGATGCTCCAACAGTGCAGATATCACAGGTATGTTGCCACACTGCAGATTCACACAGAGTGAATTACTCACATGTGATTTGAGTGAGGTGGAGCTCTGGGCTGAGAAAAGCAGACATTGTAAGTGTGGGAAACCATTCCCAGTTATAACTACCGGACCTGAATTTAGAATTGGTTGTTGGAGTCACTGTGCTGTATTCTGCTTAGTATACTAATACTCAAGCTTTGACTTAGTGTCCTTTTCTTCAAGGGACTTCTTTTATACGATCATGGACATTTGGGATGTTTAGTGACTCTGAAAGTACTGGAGGAAGCAGTGAATCTAGATCTCTGGATTCTGAATCTGTAAGTCCAGGTATGTAAATGTTTAAGTCTGGCAGTAAAAATTCAGTGAAAGATTAAAAAGTCCTTTGTTGAGTTGTTTGGTAAGGAACTGGTCCATGTGTAGAGAGAATGTACGTTCATGTGTGCAGCTTAAAGAAAAAACATGAAGAAAACCCTTGTCTGTACATAACCCATACTAGGAAAGAACATTATCTGGGTCGTAAAGGCTTCCTGTGTACAACTCCTTGATAGCACTGCTTCATACCCATCAGAATAAGCCATTATCCTGAGTTATGTCAATCTTTATAGCTGTTTTAAATGGTTTAGTACCTATACATGTTGGAATTTTGCCCTCTTCTTTATGTTATGCAAATGAGATGTTATTCTTTAACTCCTTCAGACGATTTTTATTACATATGTTGAGGTGGGTGGCTAGCTTTGTTTAACACCACTGTATAGGATTCTCTTCTACAAACATGGCTATCTTTCAGGTGGCTTTGTAGTTCATTCCTATAATGAACAGTGCCATTATGCCAGTTTTGTTATAAATGTGCTGTATGATAGGAATTGTCTCAAGATCCTAAGAGACAGTGTTGGTTTCATTTTGTTTTGAAGATTTCTTTTACTTGAAAATCAGGATTACTGAGAGAGAAGGAGAGACAGAGAGAGTTCCCATTAGCTGTGGCCAGAGCTCGTCTGCTCCAAGGATGCAGGAGCTTCTTCCAGGTCTCATGTAGGTGTAGGGGCCCAGCAACTTGCTTTCCCAGGCCATTAATGGGGAGCTAGGTCAAAAGAGGAGCAACTGGGACATGAGCTGGCTCCCATATGGGATGCCTGAACCACCGGCAGAAAGTTAGCCTTGTATGGCACAGCACTGGCTCTGTCGAGTGTTTTGAACTTTATCTTAGTGTCTTCAAGAGGGAACCTGACAGTAGGTTATACAACTGGCAGAAGGAGGATGCTCTGAACCCATGAGATATTTTTCTCCTGTTCTTTCTTTATTCTTGCATTGATGCATTCGCAAATGTTCGTATTTTAGAAAGCCTCACATGCATTTTTGGAAAGCCTCAGGTTATATTTTATACATCTATTTATACTTAGCAAACACTGAATGATACCTGCTATACCAACCACTGCTAAATATTAGGTATAAAACACAGATAGAAAATATTCTTCATGTCTTGCGGAGCTCATATTATGTAATACTTATTAGCAGAGGTTGGCATGGGGCCGTCACTTTGGCATAGCAAGCTAAGCCTGTTTCAGTGCCTCCCATATGGGCACTGTTTGCAGTCCCAGGAGCTTCACTTCTGATCCAGCTCCCTCTGAGGGAGATAAGTGTAGGAAAGTAACAAAAGATGTCCCAGCTCCTTAGAACCTCCTGCACCGACATGGAGACCCAGAAAAAGCTCCAACCTCCTGGCTTTGGACTGGCCCAGCTCCAGCCATTGTAGCTATTTGGGGAGTGAACCAGCAGATGGAAGATGCTTGCGCTCTTTCTTGTAAAACCTGCCTTACAGGGGAAAAAAAAAGATCAACAAATCTTAGAAGTTGGAAGTATGAGTCTCATTGCAATGGAATATATGACCCTTAAATTAAACTTAGAAAAATCAGATTTGGTTAAGGAATTCTCTCTAGGCAGAATGTAACAGAAACAAATTTTTACATTGAAGCAAATTAAATAGTGCGACTTTAAAAAGTACTGTGACTCTCCATTTCTAAAAGCCTCCAGTGAAGGGTCAGATAACTTCATCAACAATCTTCTTTTAGGAGACTTTCATCGAAAACTCCCACGAACCCCATCCAGTGGAACCATGTCTTCTGCGGATGATCTAGATGAAAGAGAACCGCCATCCCCTTCAGAAGCTGGTATTACGCTCCCCTGAATTAAGTCCCACTAACCCAGTTGAATTCATGTATTGCATGCTACTAGAAAAATAGCAAAATTTCAAAGAATTACATTACTGTATATTAAACACATGACATCGTGATGGCTTAAGTATCTCCCAATAATTATGTACAGTCATGGGTTTATAATAAATTAAATATTATGAATACAAAGAGAGTAAGAAGCAAAACCAGTGGACTAAATATTATGCTTTTTCACAAACCTCATAAATGACATGCTGTTAAAATGTTGGCATGCGTGAGAAATCCTTCCAGAAGAAGCAGCGCAGGAAGCCAAGCAGGAAAAGTGGGTGAATGCACCGAATGAAGCCAAGGAGAGCTGAAGCGTGTAAAGCCAGTTACTTCAGTGACTTTAGCCAGTGGTGTGCATCTTCTAGCCTTTAAATGATTGTTTGGGCACTATTTCTTAAATCAGTGTAGCTTCTTGACAAGTGTATTTGATCTCTACTGTTAATATTGATATATAATGTTTTATAAGGAAGTAAGAGTAGGCATCGCTTCTCAGCCTTTTGGCTAAGATCAAGTGTAGGAATTAAGAATAGCTCTATACTTAATGCTGACACACAACCCTCAGAAAACTATTTGGCTTTGAAGCATTTATAAGGATCTTTTTCAGAAACACCCTTCCTGGCTCTAAGTCCTATAAAAACATAGTAAATATAGTATAAATTTGCTGATTCTGAAAGCATTATGCTGACTGAATTAGAATTATCTTACTGGTTTGATGGTGACTTTCACTCATAACTAAAAATGAGAAGTATGTGTGCTTTGAAAGAGTTCTATAAATCCAGTGTTATGTTTAAAAATCAGACTAAACTGTAATATGTGCATGATGACACAGTCTTACCGAAAGTACCGTGTCAGATGTGTGAGTTTGCCCTAGTCTTACAGTTTTAATATACATTATAATCCGTTTCTGTTTTAAGGACCCAATTCCATTGGAGCATTTAAGAAAACGTTAATGTCAAAGGCAGCTCTCACCCACAAGTTCCGCAAATTAAGATCCCCCACGAAATGTAGAGACTGTGAAGGCATCGTAGTGTTCCAGGGTGTTGAATGCGAAGAGGTAAGGTTTGGAGTTGCGTGCATCCCTAGCTTCAAGCTTTGGTACTTCGTTATTTTACTTGCTAGCATCTTTGGCAAATCATATTTTTAATTAATTTGCTGCAGTGTACATTCTGATTTTCTATTTCATTTTTCTGTGAAACATTTCAAAAGCAAAATTGATACTATTTAAAAATCATTTTTGTTATGTTTCTACTCTATGTACAATTTATTCAGTTGTGAATAGTTTTTAAGATGAATTAACCAGTTTTAAACCATCATTCGCTTGTAGTGTCTCCTTGTTTGTCACCGAAAGTGTTTGGAAAATTTAGTCATCATTTGTGGTCATCAGAAACTTCTGGGAAAAGTACACGTATTTGGGGCAGAATTCGCACAAGTTGCAAAAAAAGAAGCAGATGGCATCCCTTTCATACTCAAAATATGCGCCACAGAGATTGAGAACAGAGCACTGTCTCTACAGGTATGTGGGGACTCACAAAGCTTACATCGTAAATGCCTGCATGACTTGTTTCATGAAAAGGAGACTTTAAAGGAAGATCATGCTTTTAGTTTTGGGTACTTGAATTTACTCAGATTTATTTAGAAAATGTTGCTTCATTTGGCTCTGACTAGTTCTTTTTTAAAATATTAACAGAAAGTGAAGTAGACACATCAAATATATTTAGAGATTTGAGTTTAGGTATTTGTGCTCAAGCAAAATTTCTTTCTTTTCTACTCAGGGAATCTATCGTGTGTGTGGCAACAAAGTAAAAACTGAAAAACTGTGCCAAGCTTTGGAAAATGGAACACACTTGGTAGATATCTCAGAGTTTAGTTCACATGACATCTGCGATGTCTTGAAATTATATCTTCGGCAGGTAAGTTTTCACTCTTTAAACCTATTAAGTTTTTAAGCAAAAATAAGATTTCTGTTTTGCCGGTAGCATTTGTATATTTAAAATGGCATCAACTTATATCTAATTACTAGTATAAAGATTGATGAGTGTGTAAAATGTATGTACAGTTTAAAGAACTGAAACAACTAAACCCATGTCCTGTCACCCAACTTAAGGAAACAACAGAAATGTAACTATGAAATCTTCACCTTACCAGTTGGTAGTTCCCTCTCATTTTTTTAGAAGTTCTTAACATTGGTTGTTTATTCTCGAGTCATGTATCATGAAGTTTTAGAACACTAATGAAAACTCCTTCTAGCTGAGTAAGAAAAGCCTGGTATTCAGCCTGTCACAGATTCAGCAGTAGAACAGCATCTGGGTCATAGCCTGGCTTTACCTTCCTGGGTATTTAAAAATAGTTGTGGGTCCCGGTCAGTGAGTAAGGTCACAAACGTGTCCCTGGAATGTGGAGTTTGCCATATTTGGGGCAGCAGGTGGAACTGTCCTGTAAGCTGGGCAGTAGCGTAGGAGTTGAGGTCACAGAGTGGGCTGCTCCACCTTTTCCTTTTCTGTGCTGTTGCTGCAGTTTGTTTGAGGGGTGAGGTAAGTGACTGTGGTGGCTGCAGAGAACAGCACGTAAAAGGGATGTGAGAATTAGTACATTGTCATGCAGCAGTCATAGAAAAGGTCCAGGCCAATCCCACCTGCAATTCTGCCAGTAGGTGGAATGAAGACGACAGTGATGACAGTTCCTCGGGTGTGCGTCTGGAGTTCTGTGGCTGTGGGCAGGCTCCTTCTTAGCCCGGAGCATCAGTCTGCCCCATTCCTGCTGGGGAAAGGTGGTGTAGGAGTAAATATTTGAAACCTTGTTTACCTCTCTTCAGTGGAAATCAGTAATGTAGATAGTATGGAAAATTGTAGTATTCTAGGCTGGGAATGATTTGTCTTCAGAGTTTTGAAGGCTTACTCTTTTGGTCTGTTGGGAACCTGAAATCTTTCTCATTCCCTTTGTCTGGACTGTTGTTTTCTCTCTGAAAGTTTATGGAATCTTTCTTTTTTCCTCATTGTCCTAAAGTTTCACTCACATGCCTGAAACAGATGTGGTTTTTTCCATTCTAAGGATTCCCTCAGCTGTTACTGTTCTGGTTCATCCTTGTTTCTTGGAATTTTATTTAGTTTCTCATGTCTTACTGTCTATTTTCCATATACTTTCTGTATTGACCTTTTTATTTAGATACGCAACAGTCTTTACTGGTGATTCTCTGCTTTCCCCGCCTCTTCTTTATTATTTATTTCTTTGGTTTATTTCAATCTTTTTTTAAACAGGTTTCCTCAATTTTGTCTTCTACCTCAGTTTTGAATTATTTCATGCGTAAGAACATGTTTTAATTATAAGAACTCATTTTTCTATTTTTTTATTTTTTAAATTTGTTGACGAGACAGAAATATGGGTAATGTTCCCATTTGCTGCTCCATTCCCCAGATGCCTGCAGCGATCAAACTTAAACCCCTCTCTTCTTCCCTGCTTTTAAAACAAATGCAGCATCTCATCTACAGGAGGGTATTGAGGGGTTTTGTTTTGTTTTCCCAGAAGATTCTTTTTCTTGTTTATCCTCTAGCCCTGTACGATAGAAATATAATGTGAGCTGCATATATAATGTAAGGGTTTTTTTCTATTAGGCACATAATTCAGTAGGTGAAGTTAATGTTTATTTTAGTTATCATACCTAAGACATCTTTTGAAGAGTTCATTGATATTATAAAATTATTGATGAAGTATTTTTGGCGGGCCCTGGGTCTTTGGAATGTGGCGTGTTTTTCATTTGGAAGCACACCTCAGGAACAGTTTTGTTTCCAGTGCTGGTAGCCATGTGTGCCTAGTTGCCACGGTATTCACAGCATAATTCTCAATCATCAAGGCAATTTTCTTTTCTACTCGTCGTAATCTCTGTCTTCTCACGGTTGTCTGCTTAGACAGAGTTGGGAATTGGATTCTCTTGGAAGATCTTGCACTCAAAGGTTTTGAGGGCATTGAGCTTTATTTCAGGGTGATCCAGGAGGGCTCCAGGAGAGGCACCTGATGTCTGTAGCTTTGATCCATCTGTCTCTCGATATGGTCTTTCAGGCTGCTGTGGTTCTCCAGAGAAGGGGGCTTCTCCTATCTACAGTCTGCACCAAAGCTGTGGGCGTCCTGGAGGACAGGAGGGCCAGAGGGTTTCTGTGTTCAGTCATCACACTCGCATTCACACAGTTGCCCACCTGTTCCTTGGGATTAGTGTTGACATTCCAGAGACACTCTGTTATCTGCTGCCCAGAGAAGAAATCTCTGGGTTTATGGGGTGGAGGTTGCTCAGGGGTGTAGAATAGAGTGGGGGACCTAGGGAACTAAGTTTTCTCAGCTAGCTCACCCTCCCCCAAGATCCAGGGATGTGATGTCAGTCCCCGGATCTTCTCGGGGCTCGTTCTGGCATGTGGCTTCAGTGCAGGGGGTAACTTTCTGGGGTCTGCTAACTCAGCACTGGATCATCTGCTCTTCAGCTTGTCAAGTGTTGCTTTGGTCTCATCTGGTCCTTGTGACATAATGCACTTAAATGGAGTTACAGGAGAGAAAGAAAGTATAATTGCTGTGTCTGCCATGTTAGCCCAGGAATCTGTTGACATCTCTTTAATTGCATTTTATGGAAAACTCAGCTGGGAAGTGGAGGCTGAGTCTCGTAAACAACCACCCTTTATCTTTTCCCATCTGTAAGGAAGAAAACCTAAATGGAGTTCATCCATGTTAGCAGCTTGTATTCTCAGAAATATTGTAGGGCCAAGCCTTCTGTGTGGAAAACCATAGTACAGGGACCGACATTATGATGCAGCAGGTTAAGCTGCTGTGTGTGATGCTGGTATGCATGTTGGAGTGCCAGTTCAAGTCCAGCCTCCTGGTTATGCACCTTGGAGAGCAGTGGAGGATGGCTCAAGTACTGGAGCCCATGCCACATACGTGAGAGATAAGAAGGCAACTCCTATCTCCTGATTTTGGCCTGGCCCAGGTCTGTCTGTCTGGGGAGTAAACCAGCAGAGGGAAGGTCTCCCTTTTGGTCTCCCTGCCTGACAAATAAATTTTTAAAAAAGATTTATTTTTTTTATTGCAAAGTCAGATATATCTAGAGAGGAGGAGAGACAGAGAGGAAGATCTGACGTCCGATGATTCATTCCCCAAGTGACCACAACGACCAATGCTGTGCCAATTAGAAGCCAGGAGTCCTTCCAGGTCTCCCACACAGGTGCAGGGTCCCAAGGCTTTGGCCTGACCTCAACTGCCTTCCCAGGCCACAAGCAGGGAGCTGGATGGGAAGCAGGGCTGTCAGGATTAGAACTGGTGCCCATATGGGATCCCATCACATTCAAAGTGAGGACTTTAGTCACTAGGCCACGACACCGGGCCCTGACAAATTTTAATAAATCTTTAATAAAAAAGAAAAACATTTGCTAGTGTTCAAGGGTAACCTTCAGAATGCTCATTTACCTCGTGGGGAGTCTGAAGCTTCAGAAGTGTGATTGACTCCCTTCAGATTGCAGGAGGTGGAAGCGTTGACTTCTCCAGGCTGCCCTTCTGTCAGAGCAGCAGGGGAGACCTGAGAAGGGCTTCTTGCCTCTCCACAGACGACGTAAGACTTCAAGGGACAATGCTGTGTCTCCTGCTGAGCAGTGGAGACATGGACACCTCTTAGGGCAGTGGACAGATAGAATAGCTTGCTGGCTATTAGCTTGAGAGCAGCTTTTTCTTTTGACCTACCTCCAGTGATGCAAGTACTTAAAGATTTAAAAAAATAAAACATTGACAGTGTCTTCCTTGCAAGGCGTGTTTTCTGATGCCACTTTTTTTTTTCTTTTTTGTTTTTTTAAGATTTATTTTTATTATTTATTTATTTGAAAGGTGGATATACAGAGAGGAGAAACAGAGAGGAAGATCTTCCCTCCGATGATTCACTCCCCAAGTGAGCGCAACGGCCAATGCTATGCCAATCCGAAGCCAGGAGACTCTTCTGGGTCTCCCACGCAGGTGCAGGGTCCCAAAGCTTTGGGCCGTCCTCAACTGCTTTCCCGGGCCACAGGCAGGGAGCTGGAAGGGAAGCGGGGCTGCCGGGATAGAACCGGCGCCCATATGGGATCCCGGGCATGCAAGGCGAGGACCTTAACCACTGCGCCACCGCGCCGGGCCCTGATGCCACTTTTTAATCTGACCAAAGTGAAACATAAGGGACCTAGAGACTTTAATTCTTTGTATCTCTCCTAACTATACCAGTGAAATTCAGTCTGTCAGTTTTTTTCATCCATTGGACTTAGCATTATCCTGGGTGTGTCAAGATACTTTTATCAAAAAGGCAGATCTACAGAAAGATCCATCTTCTGGCTCACTCCCCAAGTAGCCACAATGGCCAGAGCTAAGCCGACTTGAAGCCAGGAGGTTCCTCTGGATCTCCCACACAGGTGCAGGTTCAAGTCTTTGGGCCGTCTTCGACTACTTTCCCAGGACACAAACCAGCACACTGTGGAATCCGAGAAGATGCAAAGCTAAGATTTAGCCACTGAACCATTTTGCTAGGCCCTGGGTGTGTTTGTAAAACAGTTGTAGATTTTGTGATCTTTGGGACAGTTGTGATATAGTATGCACAGCAGAGCTTTTAAATTCTATCATAAAAATGTAGGATTAGGGCCCGGCACCATAGTATTGCAGTTAAAATCTTTGCCTTGAATGCTGCAGGATCCCATATGGGCACCGGTTCTAATCCTGGCAGATCCACTTCCCATCCAGCTCCCTGCTTGTGGACTGGGAAAGCAATAGAGGACAGCCTAAAGCCTTGGGACCCTGCACCCGCATGGGAGACCTGGAGGAAGTTCCTGACTCCTGGCTCCAGATCGGTGCAGCAACAGCCATTGTGGTCACTTGGGGAGTGAATCATCGGATGTCAGATCTTCCTCTCTGTCTCTCCTCCTCTCTCTCTATATATATAGATAGATAGATCTATGTATATATCTGCCTTTCCAATAAAAACAAATAAATCTTAAAAAAAAAGAAAGAACTGTCAGTTTAGAGTTTTACTAATTTATATTCATGTTTAATATGGATATTACTTATGGTGATGGTTCCAGATTTTGCTTTTACTTCACATACATGGCAAACAGATGAATTTCTAAATGTGAATTTACTTTAAATCTTGTTTATCTAAAAGAACATATTAACCTTTCAGTCAATATCAGTAGCAGTTGATTTTTGCAGGAAAAAAATAGGATTATGTTTCTAATGTAATTTTATTTCTTTAGCTCCCAGAACCATTTATTTTATTCCGATTGTACAAGGAATTCGTAGACCTTGCAAAGGAAATCCAACATGTAAACGAAGAACAAGAAACAAAGAAGGATAGCTTTGAGGACAAAAAATGGCCAAATGTGTGTATAGAGATAAACCGAATTCTCTTAAAAACCAAGGACCTTCTGAGACAACTGCCAACATCGAATTTTAACAGTCTTCATTACCTCATTACACATCTTAGGCGGTAAGAATTATACACAGTTAAGGCATGCATTAGTGGGTGGATAATTGATTAGTGTTTTGTTTTGGTGTTGATTGTGGTAAACCATACCTAAAGAACACATGAGTGAGAGAGTTGAGAAGTGTGTGAGCATGTTCATATCGCTCTGGTTTTTTTGTTTTTTTCAATAAATAACATGCCATTTCTAGTGCATGTTACAGGAAGGGAAGCATTCAGTGTGTCCCCACAACCAACATTGTCCTTCTGATATCCCCTGTATGCCAAGGGCTGACTGAGGAGATAAGCATGGAACCCTGGGGTTTCCACCATGCATTGCACTCAGCAGCTTGGGGCACAGACCTACAGGCCAGTGTAGCACAGTGTCATCTTGCTCACACCGAGCTATCTATGCACAGCATGCAGAAAGGGAGGCTTGGGAGTGTACATGGTCCTTGAGTCAAACTTGAAGGACTGAATAACGATTTGGTGGTAGAGAATTTGCAGAAGAACATTCCAGGCAGAGGGTGATAGGCACAAAAGAACATTTTGCATTTGGAAAATTTAAGTAATTTGAGCAGGCTCCAGTAGAGCTAACAGTGGTAGGAATTGGGCTGGGTAGAAACCTGGTAAGTCTTGCATGCCTGGCAAGGGAATTGACCTTCTTTCTCAGCTCACTGAAAGGTTGTGAGTCAGAGACAGCCTGCTCACATGTGCCTGTTACATCTTCCTGGCAGCAGTGTGGGTGGGAGGGGAGGCCTTTACTACACTTTGGATCTCAATGAATAGTCACAAAAATAAAAGATGAGACGTTTAAGTGAGACTAGAGCATTTGAAAGTGGGGATAGGAAAGGGCGATCCAAGGGAGAATCAGATCGTTTGGAAAATGAGCTTTGGGCAGTAAGAGAACATGAAAGGACCTGAGAGGATACGTGCTAAGATGGGAGATGGGGTGTTTGTTTAGTATTATTTGGGAGAGGTGGGTTTTTTTTTTTTTCTTCTGGCCAAATTGGGGTAGTTCTTTCTGCTTAATTGAATGTCATCCTAATAAAATACTGTGACCTCCAGTTTGATATGTGGTGAGTGTCTTAATCAAGTAAATAGCTTCTTTTTCCTGGCTCTTTCCCCATCCTTGCTTTTCCTGGACTTATATAGCCTGTTTTTTTGTTTTGTTTTGTTTTGTTTTGTTTTTCCCCCTCTACTCTTCCCCAACCCACAGTAAACTGCCATCAACAAGCCATAACAGGCAATCCCGTTCAGTTTCACGTGTTCTACTTTTCAGGGTAGTTGATCATGCAGAAGAAAACAAGATGAATGCCAAAAACTTGGGAGTCATATTTGGACCAAGCCTCATTAGGCCGAGGCCAACAACTGCCCCTATCACCATCTCCTCCCTGGCTGAATATTCGAACCAAGCGCGGTTGGTAGAGTTCCTCATCACTTACTCCCAGAAGATCTTCGATGGATCACTGCAGCCACAGGATGGTACCAGGGTTGCTGTACCTCAGGCGGATCCAGGCTGTCTCCCCAAGCCTCACTTAGCACCGGAAGAAAGAGATGCAGAACATTCCATGAGCCCTCTGTTTTTTTCTTCGAAAGAAGTAAGTTCTCACCTTTATTGATAAGATTATATCAGAACTTTTGTAATGTTAATAAGTTAAAAATACTTGAAGTGTTTATTTCGAGGTGCCTTTTGCTTCTTGAAGTTTAAAATTCCTCTTCTGTCAACAGGATGTCCGTACTGCAGAGAGTGAAAGCAAAATTTTTGAGCCAGCTACATCATTTGATGAATCAGAACGCAAGCATAATGTGTTAGAAAAATGTGACGCATGTCTTATTGGTAAGTGACTGTGTTTTAAAAAAAATTAACTTAAAACTTTGCCAATGATGATTACAAGCTTGTGGCCTGTGTTGTGGTACAGTTTGTGATGTGGCATCCCATATGAGAAACAGTGTGAGTCCCAGACGCTCAGTCCAGCTCCCTGTTAATATTCCTCGAAAAGCAGTGTAAGGTGCTGTAAGTCCCTGGGCCCCTGACAGCCATGGGGCAGCCAGGATGAAATTCTAGGTTTCTGGCTTTGGCCCGGCCCAGCCTGGCCTGTTGCAGCCATTTGGTGACTGAATCAAGATGGAAACTCGCCCCCCCATTTCCCATGCTCCTGCCTTTCAATCCCACACTCTGTAACTCTTCATTTCAAATAAATAAATAAATCTTTTTTAAAAAATAGAAAAGAAATGGGTAATAGAATGGAGGGAAGTCAAGATGAAGATTGTTTAAATTTTTGCTTGCCCTTGAGAAAGTTGCCTGTTAGCATACTTTTCATTAACTGAATATTATTTGTCTTCTTTAAAAAAAAAAACCTTGGAGTTCATGGGTGTTTTAGTGTGCTTTGTGAACATTTTTGGTCTTTGTTTTTGCTTTTGCTGTCAGCTGAAGCCAGAGCAGGGTCAGCAGTGTGGTGACTCCCGGTGTCTGCTGTTACTGTGTCTTCAGTTGGCCTGGCTGCTCCTACGCACCGAGCTAGACTCCTGGCATTTAAAAAGATGAATGTTTTTTGTATCTTGACTCATGACCTACCTTTAACAGGATGAATACACACATGCCTGTGTCTTCCGTATTTCCTTGACTGCAGTCATCTTTCTTACTTACCTCTTTACTCTCTGTGCAGTCATTTTGTCTGAGTGATTAGAAGATTGAAAGCAGCCAGCTGGTGAACCAGCTCCCATTTGTTACTGTAATTCTATATTATTAGAGCTAAATTCCAGTTTTTCAAAATACAGCCTTTGTGTTACATTTGGAAGTAATCAGAGAGCAATGCTCACAGCTTGGTTAGGGTCCGAGAAGGAAGGAAGCCAAGGACCTGCCTACTGTGTACTAGGGCTGTGTTCATTTGATTGGTCTTCATAAGCAAGACGGTGGTGTTCTCTAGATGGGCTCTACCTTGTTCAACCTCTAACTGACTGTCAAAAGAGGTTAAATAATGCCAAAAGACCTATCTGTACTAAGCTATTCAGGCAAAATTTCAGTCCAGTCCTGTCTGACTTATAAACTTCACTTTTTTTTTCACTGTCCATGAAAGCTACAATCCCTATTAAGAATAGTAATAATATATGTCATTGTCAAGTACTTACTGTAGAGCAGAATCTTCTAAACACTTAGTAGGTCACTTAGACTCTAATGAAGACACACAGGGACAGGGCCTGGCCTCCTGGCGTCAAAAGTGGAACTGCAGAGGATGTATTGTTCTCCACCATGCTGGAAGCTTCTGCCACAGATCTGTAGGAGTATACTGTGGGGCTTACGCTGCAGATGGGTCAGGTGCCCCAGAATGTTCTGTAAAGGGAAGTGGGGGACCCAGGAAGCTCATCCCCTGGGCATTGCCTTGGAGCTCAGGGAAGAAACGTCAGCCGTCCCAGGGGAGGGGCAGGGTCAACGTCTGACGTAGGGGTCCCTGGGGACCCTGTCTGCACAGCAAAGCCCAAGGGAAGAAGGAGAACCCCGAGAGATGCTGGAGTAGGGGTTGAGGGTCAGATTGGGGACAGAGGACTACATATTTTCCCACAGTAAGGAGTGTGAGCAGAGGCCTGGAACTTTCCAGGAACTGGCATTTGCAGAGTGATTAAAGCCGAATGGGACAAAGTGTGAGTGACCAGAGGTCTGGGTGAGGAAGCAGACGGCCTGTGGGTTCAGACCAGAGAGAAGAATCAGTCTGGAGGCAGACAGTTCCTGGGGAGAAGGGTGGGGTTATTCCTACTGAGTATAGAGTTGTCGAACCCTAATGTGAGCCATGGGTGTTATTCTTGGTTAGTGAATCAAATACAGAGAGTATCTGACGCATTTAATTTGATGTACTTCTCAGTGTGTTAAATAACTGAAAAGCAGATTGAGTTAGCAAAATCCTTGGGATTCAGGACATGCCTGTATTTGATTGGCGAATGACATGGTTTAACTTTTTTGTTTGTTTAAAATTTGCTTATTTTCGGGCCCGGTGGCATGGCCTAGTGGCTAAAGTCCTCACCTTGAACACGCTGGGATCCCATATGGCTGCCAGTTCTAATATCGGCAGCTCTACTTCCCATCCAGCTCCCTGCTTGTGGCCTGGGAAAGCAGTCGAGGATGGCCCAATGCTTTGGGACCCTGCATCTGTGTGGGAGACCTGGAGGAAGTTCCTGACTCCTGGCTCCAGATCAGTGCAGCACTGGCCATTGCGCTCACTTGGGGAGTGTGTCATCGGACAAATGATCTTCCTCTGTATTTCTCCTCCTCTCTGTATATCTGAATTTCCAACAAAAATAAATAAATCTTTTAAAAAAATGTTGCTTATTTTCATCGGAAAGGCAGATTTTGCAGAGAAAGGGAGAGTCAGATCTTTCATCCACAGGTTCATTCCCCAAACGGCTACATCAGCCAGAGCTGAGCTGATGAAGAACCAGGAACCTCTTCCAGTCTCCCACATGGGTGCCAAGTGGATTGCCACTCTTCAGAGATAGAGGATTAGCCAGTTGAGGCATTGTACTGGCCCAGAGATAGTTTAACTGTGGCTGTCTATTGAAAAATGTCAGTCCCTTGACCCAGAAGGCATTTGTGCCTGTATGACAAATAATAAGAAATTACTCCAGCAAGTGTTACTTCATTTTGGTTTTTTGTTATACTAATATGCAGGCTATGTTGATTTAGATAAAATTTTAAATACCCACTTGTTTATCTGAAATATAATTTTAATATTGCACGAATGTTTATTAACTCACATGTTAATATGAATATCATGTTGGAAAGTATATAGGATTCCTGTTGTTGAGAGAATGCCCCTGTTAACCGTGTGCTATGAAGCTAAGCCATTGGCTTTCTTTTCCAGACAACAAGCTGCGTTTGCTTCTAGACCAAGAGCATGAGTCTGCATCCCAGAAGATGGACGACATGTGTAAGATCCCTAAGCCGCTGATTCTAAAAACTGACAGGACAGTGAACAATATGGAGAGGTACATCCCACGGACCCGGATGAGGCCTGTGAGTTTGCCTGTAGACAGACTGCTTCTTGCAAGCCCTCCTAATGAGAGAATTGGCAGAAATACGGGGAATCTAAGTTCTGACAAGTTTTGTAAGAATCCTGCCTATGAAGGATCTAACAGAAAAGACACCTCTACCACCGTCTGTGCCAAATTCAATGGCTTTGACCAACAAAGTCTGCAGAAACTTTGGGATAAACAGCATGAACCAAACAGCTTTACTACCAAAACTGCCACGTTTGTGCCCAGTGATCCCCAGGGCAAAGTCGTGCTGGGCAGCCCCAGGATTGGTGGGGAGCATTCCGGGGGTGTCCCCCAGCCCGGGAAGCCACACACAGAGCCGGTGAGGTCAGGGCGAGAGGCTGTGGAGAGACGGGCCTCTGATTCCTGCACTCCCGCTCCTGCTCCCGGCAGGGCGCCCAGGACACTGCAGCCGCAACACTGGACAACATTCTACAAGCCACGCACTCCTGCCAGCAGTGTCAGGGGCAGTGAAGAGAAGCCATCCTCTCCCTCGACACCAACCCCTCCTGGCACAGCACACACTCCCCAGGGTGACACAGAGAAGTCAGTGCCAGACTTGGCCAGGGCAGCAGCTTGTGCTGGGCAGCCCAGTCGGCCGCCTAAAGAAAATTCTGAGGAGGCCACCCCGCCCGAGGTGACTGCCATGTGCCAGAGACCCAGGCTCAAACGGATGCAGCAATTCGAAGACCTCGAGGATGAGGTCCCGCAGTTTGTGTAGGGAGCTCACCACCAGGCTGCCTTTGCTCTGTTTGGTTTTGTGGTATTGTGTGTTTGTATAAAAGTGTTTGACGGGGCCCCTTTTGTATAGAATTGCCGGACTGTGGATTTTGCTTTCTGTTAATCGTGTTGTATTCTCCTTGTGGGTTGTATTGACTGGTAGAATGTCTTGATGGAGTCATGTTTGTGACTCACTGGTATCCTCTTTAAATTCTGTATTATGGAAATTGTGAATAAAATAGGTGGATTCGTAGTTTTTAAGGTTCAGTTGATTTTCCCTGTAAAGTGGCCCACTTAAATGCATCCCTAATATATGATATGATACAGGTCTCAACTATTAGGTGCAATGGGGGAAAATCAGCTTTATTTTTTTGGAGTGAAACGAAGTGCTTATTTATAAAATGTTTCTGAATGCAAGTGCCTGAAAGATCTTTGGTATGTGTATGTTTTTCCACACAATTTTATAGTGCCTTTCTGAACATTTGTGCTTGTATGTATGTTTTATTTTTCAGTTGTCAATTCACATAACTTTTTAATATTTACCTAATAGCCAAAGGGCTTGCAAATCTATTTAATTTCATTTTTAATTAATTACAAGTTTTTACATGTGGTAGTCAAGTTGTACAAAGAAAATTGCACTTAAATCTCCTGTTTCTAAATATATATATATATATTTTTTTCAGACACAACCTACTTGGTATTAGAGGGTTTTAAAACATTGATAGTATTTTCCCCTTTGGCTTTGCTCTACATCAAGTTCAGATTTACAATAGTTTTGAGCCTTTTGGCATTTTAGATAATACTCTCAAACCTGTTTCAGAAGTTTTTAAATTCAGTGCATTTCCTCTTAATACCATTGTGGGCTTTGTTAAAAGCCATTCCTTTTATACAGAATGTTTGGCCTTGTGGATTGTTTTATGTCTTTTTCTACCTGAACCATAAATCGTTGAAAATGTACATTTCACCTAAAAGAAGCGAAGATTGGTTGACACTGATCCTGAAAGAGCAGTCAGTAAGCTCTGGAGTCCGAGAGAGGGTGTAGATGATGGGATCTGTTTCAGTTATAAAGTTTCCAGTTTTTAGAACTAACCCTGTTTTCTGGGTTCACCATTTTGTCTGAAATTGGATATAAAAGGGACAAAAAAGCCTCTTTTTGTATGTGTGAATTACATTTCTAGTAATGCTTTTGTATGACCATGTTATACATGATAAAATAAATATTAACTTGTTAAATTATTCCAAGTTCTCGCAGCTTCTCTGAAACTATTAGAATATGAGACTGAGGTGATCAGCTGTTCCCTTTGTGAACAACACTGGACTACACTGGGGAAGCCATTCAAGGGAAGGTGTCTTTACAGTCATTCTGCATGGCAGTAAGGGTGAGGGAGAGATGAACAACCGGCTGTTTGTGCTGAAGCCTTGAAAATAGTACACATTGTGAAAATAGGAAACAGTTCTATTAATATATGAAAATGCAAAAAGAAAATTAAAGCCATCATGTTTTTAGCTCTGTGTGTTAGGAACTTTAAAGTTCCTACATAATTTTTTTCAAGTTCAGCACAACCTGTAGCAGTTGAGCAACCAAGTAAGGACATTAACTAGTTTGGTAGATGTAACAGGTATAGTAAATCTCAAACACAGAGGAGATCATATTTTATGATTAGTGATCTTAATGACATAAAATGCATCCTTAAAAACTTGATTGTGAAAGACTTTTAACAAAATTTATCGTTTGAGCCATTGTAAGGGTACGGTTTATTGGTTGTTCTATGACTATGACCAACTATCTAGAACTTTTTCATACTAAAACTCGTAAGATATTCTTAAAATGTATGTAATTAAGGAAGTTGGGGAGGCATTCCATATGCTGATTCACTTCCCAGGGCCAGGAAAAGCCAGGACTCAGTCTAGGTCTGCCACATGGTTGGCACAGCCCCAAGTGCTTGAAGCAATACCTGCTGCCTTCCAGGGTGTCCGCTGGCAGGAAGCTGCAATCAGAAGTAGAGCCAGGGCTCACACCCATCCACCCCACTGTAAGATGGGAGTGTTGTAACTGCTAGACCAGACACCTGCCCCAGGAAATGTAAAGGTCTTCCTATCTTTTAATATGTGAAGACAATACAACCTCACAAGTGAAGAGTTCTCCTTTTGGGTGGTTTTTGTCTTTAGAGCTCTTACCAGTAGCATCTTGTCTAGCGTGGAGATGCTTTCTGGTTTCCTGGAGACCTAAAGCAAGTATCTCATGAGAGGAGATAGCTCTGAGATACCCACACAACGTGCTCTGTGTCCTGCCACCAGACATGTGGAAGTTACTCAGCAGGAAGCTGTTTGATACACCTGAAAGAGATGTGAGCTGAGGGAAAGTGAACCATGCCAAGTCCTAGAGCCGACGGGCCCCTGGAAAGCTTTGAGGGAAACATGCTTGTGTCTGAAAAGTCATTTGTGAAAAGATAATTCTAACGCTTCTAGACACGTTATTTGACATGGTGGGAGCTCACTGGAATTATTAGCATTGAAAATGTGACTTGTTTTTTGGTAAGAGGTGAAGACAGGTTGGCCCCTCTAAGGGTCATCCTTGGTTATCGAGCTCACAAGCAAATCAGATCACATCTTGCCACTTGCAGTAATTTAACAGAAATGGTCCCAGGCCCAGTGCAATAGCGTAGTGGTTAAAGTGCTCACCTTGCATGCACCAGGATCTCATATGGTTGCCGGTTCTAATCCAGGCAGCCCTGCTTTCCATCCAGCTCCCTGCTTGTAGCCTGGGAAAGCAGTTGAGGATGGGCCAAAGCCTTGGGATCCTGCACCCGCATGGGAGACCCGAAAGAAGCTCCTGGCTCCTGGCTTCAGATTGGCTCAGCTCCAGCCATTGCGGCTGCTTAGGGAGTGAATCATTGTCTCTCTCTCTCCTCCTCTCTGTATATCTGACTTCACAATTTAAAAAATCAATCAAAAAAAAAAAAAAAAAAGATGGTCCCATGGCTCCGCCATTTCTAGCTGTCCTTGTATTTCAGACTATTCACTATATGGTTGAACTTAACATCTCTTTAAATGACAGCCATTGTACATTTTAAAATAAATTCTAGTCATACTCTGGGTTTTATCCCTCAGAATCAGGAAACTATTTTGATTTGTTGGTTTGATTATATGTGTAAATGATTCAATTTGACATCTAGAGTTTAGAAAACATGGCATGTAGAATTCAGTTGTATTTCAGCTAACAAATGAAAAGTTTTTGTGTCTCCAGCGATCACATAAACATAAGGGAATGTCTAAAAATAATAGAATGGGAACAGAATTTTAGGCCTTTATCAAGGGACATTTAAAGACCTCTTTGGTGGACACTCCGCAATGTACATGGATCACAAGCTCCGATGTTGCGAGGAGGTTCATTCTCCCTACATTTGTTTAGAGATTCACTAAGTCACAACTAAAATCTTTGGAGTACATCTCCATAAACCCAGGGCATGTGAGAACACTGTGCTAGAGCCGTCCAGCTCAGGAACCCAGCGTGGTTGTAACATCATTTCATGCTCAAAGCACATTGGGCCTTGGCTAACAGCGCCTGTACTGTTCCTCTCTGACCAGCATCCCAATCAGAGCACACAGGCACCTCCTGGCTCCTCCGCCTTCTCATGCCTTTGATGCTTGGGATAGGCCAGTCTGTAGAATGCCCGTCGGTTTGGATCTGCTTAATGTTTCCTCACGAGTGTGCTCAGGTTGTACATTTTTTGTCTCACATGACACAAAAGTACCCATACTCTCCTCGGTGTCTCAGAAGGTACAAAAAGTTGGTTTTATGCCTGGGAATGTTAAAAGTTCATAATTAAAACTACAGTGTGAGGAGAGTCTTAAGGGCTGCATCAAGGTCTTACTTCTTACCAAGGTAGTTTTGAGTACGCTGAGGCTGGGGGTCTGAATCAGCTGTGAAATGCTGAGTCGATGGCTTCTGCTGTGGCCGAGTCACATGCAAGGATGAGCTGCTCCTTGTTTAGTGTAAACCCCAAGGTTCCTATTTTACCTATTAAAGCTCTCATCTATTTTCACTTGAGTCTCATGTTCCTGTCATTTGGCCACCAAGAGGCAAGTCCACAATCATTTCATAATAAGCAGTGACTGAATATACATTGCATTTACTAGGGAAAGTTTAGGAAGAAATGGCTGCGACTATCCAGTAGCAATGTTTAAACCTGGACATGTGTTGAAATGCGTAGAAAATATTAAATTACTATGTTCTCTTCCTTTTTTGATCTTAGCTGCTACACCTTTAAGTAATTTGAATATACTTTCTATAATAAACTGTAATACGCGGTTTAAATGTCTTTACAATCAATCAGTTTTCTGTGTGTAACATGAAATTAACTGGCCACATTTCTGAGTTACAAGTCTTGTTTGGCTTTGGTTTTCAAGTAAACAAATAGCTGTTCATCACATGAAAACATGTCTCAAGTTTCTGGATATGGTCCCAAGCGTACAAGTTGTCCTATTGCATCAAAAAAAAAATGGAAGAAAGATGGTGTAGCGATGTGAGTAGACCGGTGAGTTTTCTTTATTCTCCAGGCAGTGCTGCTAAGTGAATATGGTCCTGAAATTTAAAAGCCAAAACATAGGTTTCTAGATACAGTGAGATCTGTTTACTTCGTAGGCACTGAGCCTGGCAAGTTACAGCTGCCATCTGCTAAATTAGTTCTCTCTCACCCCTTTCATTTGACGTGAGAACAGGCTTGTTGAGACCTACTTCCACTGAACTCAGAACTCTGCTGAGAGACGGGGTTGTTCAGACTGCCGGTTAGGACATGCAGTCCCACACTGGTCTCCTCCTGGCCCTGGCCCCTGCGCCAGCCTTCCTGCTAGTCAGATCTAAAGGGCAGCAGCTCTAACTCCACCTGCCATATTTCCCACCCCTAGGCATATAATTGGCATTTGGGGGCAGGGAGCCAGTGGATGGGAGATCTCTCAGTTTCTCTGTCTCTCTAATTAGAAAAAACAGAAACTTTTCTGTATTCAACTCTTTCCTCAGAGTTGTGAGAGCTCCTCTATTGGGTTTCTGAATAAATCAGCACAAAATGAAATTAATATGAGAACACAACAGCAGATCAAGAACTATGGATTTCGCCATCTGCAAATGCAGACAAACAAATAGTTAACTTCGGTGGGTGCTCTATAAGGCTGCTTTAAAACTGGTGGCCTGGTAGCTAAATCCTCACCTTGCACGCCAGGATACCATATGGGCACCGCTTTGTGTCCCGGCAGCCCTGCTTCCCATCCAGCTCCCTGCTTGTGGCAGCAGTCAAGGACGGCCCAAGACCTTGGAACCCTGCACCCTTTTGGAAGACCCAGAAGAGGCGCCTGGCTCCTGGCTCCTGGCTTCGGATTGGCTCAGTTGCGGCTGTTATGGTCACTTGAGGAGTGAATCAGCGAATGGGAGATCCTCCTCTTTGTATATTTGACTTTCCAATAAAAATAAACAAAGCTTAAAAAAAAAACTAGATCATAAAGCAGAAGTGTGTAAATATGTGTCATTTAAGGAAATAATTATGGCCTGTCCCAGCCCTAGTGGTTGCAGCCATTGGAAAAGTAAACCAGCAGGTTGCATCAATCCCTTGCCCTCCCTCTAACTGCCTTCCAAAGAAATAATACATCTCGAAAGGAAAAAGAATTATAAAATGAAGCATTTGCCCCCAGTACTTAACATTAAGCAGTGACTGTGACACCCTTCTCTGGTTACAAGCTGTCTCTTTCTGCCTACTAGGAGGAAACGACTATCTCGGATTTTATATCAATCATTCCCTGGGATTTTTTTTTTTTTTTTTTTTGCTACTTATTTAATTTTGCCTCTTTTTTTTTTTGGTATCCTTTATAAGCAGATCATTTGATTTTTAAAAAGATTTGTTTGAAGGGCAAAAGCAAGTTACCATCTGCTCGTTCACTATTCTAATGGACACAACAGCCAAAGCCCTGAGTCCGGAACTCTATTGGGTCTCCCACGTGGATGGCAAGGAGTCAAGCACTTGAACCATCATTGGCTGCTTCCCAGCCACATTGTCAGGGAGCTGGATCGGAAACAGAATAGCCAGCGCTTGAACCAACAAGGGGGTGCCGCAAATATTCCAGAGAGCTTCATGTACATTGAAATGCCCAGCCCATTTGTTTATTTAACCAAGGAACCACCTTGACCTCAGAGAAGGGACTGATAATGAGGGAGGGATCGCCTTTATCCCTT